GTGCAACAGTGCACATCTGTCAATCCAAAGGATCAAGACATCTGGTTGTGACAGGGACCATGTGGGGAAGATTGCATACAAAAAGTCCCAAATGGCTACCTTTATCTCCAACACTGCCGTAAACTGCTTTTAGAACACAAATGTGACACACTAGAAAACTCACCCTACCCTGCCATCACAGCAGCTCCCATGACACCTTCTTGGAGGCCTTCCCCTCCGTCCTCTCTAGAATGGGACTCCCGCACCCTCTCCAGCTCTGGTCCCTCCTCATCAGCACCTCTTTCCTCGTGCCCCTAGATTATGAGTGTGTCTGTTTTGCTCCTGCTTTATCATCAGGCCTAGACCAGTGGCTGCCACACTCAAACATGTGTTAGAGGAAGGACAGACCGACGAATGCATGGACACAAGTGATGTCCCCCTCTTCTTCCACTGGCTCTCCCTAACCTTTCCCTCCACCATCTCAGTCCTGCAGATTGGAGAGACAGGCTCTTCACACCAGATGTTCCAAGGCAGGGAGAAGAGCGCAAGTGGGATCCCCTGAGGCAAACAATCCTGCACTCCAGAGAGCCAAAGAAATAATCCCATAACTCATGGATCATTTACATCAGAGAAACCAAGAGACTCCGGAAGCAACTCCTCCAAACTGGGAGACCTGGATTATCCCGCCTCCCAGGCAGCTCTCAATATAAAGGAAGCTTACAGGTACAACTCAAAGGGACGACAGAACTGATTAGGAATTAGACGTACAAAATACCTTGAAAAAAAACATATATTGAAAACTCCAGGAAAGAAAAGTGACTTGCCCAACCCCTTAGAAGCACAGCTGGGGCTGGACCCCCAAAGCTGGAGTGGCACTCTGCCTCTTCCTCCCAAAGCCGTCACTAGAGCCAACACGCTCAAATTGTTCTTATAATTAATTAGACTTGTACACACACACACAATTTTTTTTTTAATCACAAAAGCAAACCCTCATTCTGGCTATAATTTCCATGAGAGAAACAGAAGCAGGGTTTGCTACACTATGAGTATAGAGGCTTGCCTACCAGTGAACAGAGAGTGCCCCCTACTGGTTCCCACTGGTTCTGTGACCCCTAAAATGCCTAGAAGATTGGAGGCGCGGGGGGGGGGCTGGCGAGGGTGAAAGTACTTCTCTGAAATGCCTTTAAAGGTTACTCTATTCCTTGTGGAGGAATATACAAACTTAGGTATATTTAACTAAAAATGATAAGTCTGGGAAGCGCTGAGCAAAGCTCCTTGTGGCCCGAGGGCAAATGCTATCTTCTGGCACAAGCACTGGACACTACAAGGCCTCCCTGGCTCCACCTGTGAGGCCGTGCATGCGGCCCAGGTGCCGGCCCTGGGTGAATGAGGCTTTGGCTTGGCCTATCCCTTCAGACCACCAGATCAGTCTAAGCAAAAGGTGACCAGAAAGAAACATCGTATTCCAAGTCACTCGGCTCTGGTAGTGGGCTTTTCACACTTAATCAAGATAACATAGTTTGCAAAACCAAACCAAACAGGGGATCATTTAAGAGTTAGAATATTTGGCTACATGTATGAAAGGGTCTCCAGGTAAGTTCTTCCGTGTGCCACATGGGCACGTCGGTGGAAAAATGGGCACCAGGAGCTGCTTGTGCCTGGCGGCTAGGTGACTTTACGGCACCAATGAGAATCTGGTTGCTGCGGCCTGGGGAACCCAATCCTGGAGAGCCTCAATATCAGCCTCGACTAAGTGCCACATCAGAAGGGGGGCGGGGTATGCCAGCATCAGAGACCCTTCCATTCCCGGCAATTCTTTAAAGAGCCAGTGATGTTACTGAATTTCCAAAACCCGGTCAGTCTTTGGCTCCTGGGTTAAAGGCAATCAATTGTTATTTCTAAGTTCTCAGCTCAATTGCCCTGATTCCACAAGGACTGAGAAAAGGCTACTGTGCTGACTAAGTCACTGAATGCTTGAGGATAACTGTAATGAGCCCTCCAGTCTCCCACCCCCAGATGCCAACTTCCCTCCTGGTTCCCAGGAGACAAGAGCCAAAGCCGGCTTAGGGCCTGGGCAGGGTGGGAGGCAGTGGGTTACCTCCGCTCTGGACTACTGCTGGGAGCCCGGGGGGCCGCAGACTTCGCCTCTGTCGTCTCAGGGCTCTCCTCCACGTCTTTACAAGCAGCATCTTGAGAGGTAGACAGTTTTCCTTCCTCACTGCAGTAAAGAGGAGGACAGGCAGCATCAGACACCCAGGTACCAGCGCCGGGTGGAGGATGAGGGCACATGCAAATGGCTCTGGGAGTCATGACTGCCATGGAGTCAAAGCCCTGGGGCTGAGCATGCTCAGGTGAGGGATCACAGGGACCACAGACAGTGACCGGGAAATCACAAAAGGAGAGGGTCACACACAGGTGGGGACCAAAAGACGGACGATGTAATGCAGCTGGTGTCTGGTAAAGAACGGTCCCACGTCACTGTACATACCGACAGGATTTCAACACTCTGAAGCCAAGTGTGCAAAACAGAAAAAGAAATGTACAAGAGTTTCAGAATACTCCTATAAATGAGGAATTTTGGGGAATAATATGTCCACGACTGCACATAAGCAAAACTGCAGACTCGGTGAAGGTGTCAAATGAACCTGTTTGAAGGAATGAGTCTTTAGTTAAAGCATTTTGCTTTCAGGGCTCAGCCCACCATTTTCGACAGTCAGTAGGACAGACCCCCATCAGCTGATGTCACGTGAGTGGGGTGCCACATGGCCTGAACCAGGACTGAGCCTCTCCAGCTGCCCTCCGACAGCGCCTGAGCAGGACAAACACCACGAGAGAAGAGAGCCAAGGATGGTGGCCAGAACAGGTGAAACCTGACCCTTGGGTTAGAGGGCTTGGGGAAACAAAACAGGAAAGGATTATTTTCTCCCCTTATATGGCTCTTGGTGAAAAAAAGACAAGTAGCAAACGCTTTCAACTGTTTGCAGCCTGGAAAGTTAGACTGTTGCCTATTCTGTCTGGATTTCCCATTTTGACACAATCAAGATGGCACTAAAGTGAGCTGAAGGGCAGCCAGAGGTTCCCTCTGGGAGCTGGAGCCTGTCCTGGATTGGCTTATGAAAAACCTAATTTTAGGATATTTCTCGGGTGGCTTTCAGAAGGGTCTGGGCAATTTATAAGGAGAAAAATGAACTAAAGTGTAAAGATTAGCTGACAATCTGAGTTACCTGGTTCATTACTCCTCTTTGTCCTCACTGTCCACTCCCTGCTCACCAAAGCAACCACCTGATGTGTTTAATACATATCACTTTCATTTTTGTAAAATGTATAGTCATTACATACATGTATCTGGAATCATATAATTGGCACTGAATCGTACACCTCACCGTATTGATCTCTGTAGCTTAGCACAGTCTGGAAGATCCACCTGTTCCTGCTGATTGGCACGGTATCCCATGCAGCGTCCCTCCCAGTTCTAGCTGGCTTCTCACAGTGACCAACGCTCAACTGCCCTCTCCCTCCATGCCTCTGGCACAATGCTGCAATAACTACCACTGTCCGTGGCCCCAGTGGACCTGCGTGGGCATTTCTCAGGGCTCTAATCCCAGGAGTGGACAATGCTGGTCATCTTTCTATCTATAAGGAAGCCCCTATGACTCTCCAGAATGACTGCCCTGGGCTGCGTTCCCCACTAGCAGGGCAACAGGGTTCCTGCAGCCCCACAGCCCACCAACACACAGCTTTATCTACTTGCTAATTCCTGCTACTCTAATATGAAGTGTCTGATAACGAGTGAGTTCTGAGCATCTCTTCTTACTTTTTTAGCCTTTTTTGATTTCCTTGTCTGTAAACTGCCTACTGATATCTTTTGCCCATTTTCTGATTTGGGTTTCCTATCTTTTCCTTATTGTTTATAGGAACTCCTTGAATGTTAAATGTTAGCTACTATAAACTTTTCCTGCTCAATTTGCCATCTGCCTCTTAATTTTGTCTACAGCATTTTATCAACCAGAAATTCAATCCAATTCTATTCTTTGCATTATGGTTTATCCTTTTGAAGGTGTTTTGTTTTGTTTTGAAAAAGAAGACCTCTTCTGCCCACAGGGCAGGAAGATATGCTGCATTTTCTCCTAACTACCATGAGACTTAAATCTAGTATCTCATTTTTCTCAGCTGGAAAGTGGGATGGTAGCCATAGTGCTCATCTCGAGAACTGATGAGTGATACATGTGAAGCCTTAGAGTACATAGCCTCGCACAGAGAGCACTGCACAGGTGCTCTTATCCTTCACTCACCTTCCATCCACCTGGAATCCCCTCACATGTACATCAGGGAGGCCCTATTGCCCCTTGTTCCTTGTCGTGAGCCAGATCCCTTCTCCCCGCACTAAGCAATCCCCTTGTCAGTGAGCGCTCTCTTCCATCACATGGGCCCCTTTAACTATTTGTGTGCTAATGCCATACTGCTTTAGTTATTGGGACTTTGCAGTATGACCGAATATCTGCCAGGACAAGTCGCTTATTTAATCTTCCTTATGGTTCTCTAAGTAATTTGAGAACTTTTATTATTCCACATAAATTTTAGAGTATGTTTATCAAGTGCCTTTTAAAAATCCAACTGAAATTTTGTTTGGGACTGCATTACACTTAGAGATGAATCTGGTGATGGCAGACATCTTTGCAGCACTGAGCTCTCCCATCACAGAGTCTGACAGCCTCCACCTGTCCAGATCTTCTGAGGCTGCTTTTATTAGCACTTTCAAGTTTTGTCTATAGATATCTGGGTTAGGATAACTCCTAAATGATTTACAGTTTTATGGATTTTGTGACCAGTACTTTGCCTTTTTTTAATGCATCCTAGTTGCTTATGACTGATGTAGAGAAAGACTACTGATTTTTAAAATTAATCTCTTACCCAGTAGCTTTGTTGAACTCTTATTAGTTACAAAAGTTTGCTACTGACTTGGTTGTAGTTGATCATTATTATCTGTTAATAATTAAAGTCTTTTCACTTCCCATCTAATCTTTACCTATACCTCTTTCTTTGTCTTTCCTCAGAACATTGCCCAGGACTGCCCATACAGTGGCAGTGATAATGGACAACCTTTATTTGTGCCTTACTTTGAAGTGACTGCATCTAAAATGTCCTCATGCAGCATAATTTCTGCTACAGTATTTTGGTATTTTAACTTTTATGAAGTTATGGAAATTCACTTCTGTTCCTGCTTGGCTCAGAGTTTTAATCATATATAGGTATGGAACTTTATCAAAAGCTTCATCAAAAATATCAAATGATTTTCTTTCAGTCTATTAGTACATAGTGAATTACACTGACAGATTTTTCTGACGCTGAACCATCCTTGCAGTCCAGTGATAAACTTTAACTGATCATTATGAATTACTTGTAATATGCTATTGGATTCAGTTAGCAAATACTTCATCTAAGATTTTTGCATTTAGTTTGCTTATAACTGACATGAGCTGATCATTTTCTATAATTATCTTTATATGGTTTTGAAATTAAGATTTCACTGCCTTATGAAAAGATCCAGGCAGTTTTTACACTTCGTCTGTTTTCTGTAACAAGACAGGAATTAGTCAATTAATGTGCATGAAACTACTGAATCATCACTGTAAGCAATACACCCTGCTGACTCGTGAGGCTGGCCTGCTCTGGAGTTGGTCCGCTCCTGTTTTCCTCCACAGATAATGGATTGTTTTTGTCTTTCGTCCATTTTTAAAATTACTAGATTGTTTGTCTCTGTCTTACTGATATTAGGTCCCTCCTCTATCCTGCTACTGAATCTTTCTTTGCGGTTATGGCTTGTCTTTTCATTTTATTGTGTCTTTCATAAGTACTAGAAATTAAAGTCAAACTCATCAATCTTCTCCTTTATGGTTTGGCTTTTTTATGGCTAAAAAATCTTTTGCCCCAAATTCTGAACACATTCTCTCATGTTGTCTTCTGAGAGTGTCGTTTTGCCTTTCATACTCAATGATGAGACAGAGAGTTAATTTTATTCTTCTCCAAAATGGATAATCACTATTTATTAGTCCATTCTTTCCTCACCGCATTATGTCACTCTAATGTGTATCAAGTACGTGTAAGGGTAGGGGCCTATCTGTATAACTCTGGCCAAGTCCACGTCATGTCAATGATAACAGCTTTGATAATAAGTCTTGATATCTAACACAGTGAAGCCTCCCTCACTTCACTCTTCAAAATGATCTTGGCTGTTCTCAGCTCTCTTTGGTCTTCTTTCTGAATATCACAATCGGCTTCTCAATTTCCGTGAAAAACTCCATTGGGATTTTGATGAGAAACGCATTCATTTTATAGATTAATTTGTTAATAAATGCCAAAGATATCGTCCCATTCTAACATGGCACATCTCCTTATCTATTTAGGTCTTTATCTTTTCCATCTTAGTTATCTTAAAGACAAGGTTTAAGGTTTTAATTTTTAAAAAGGGGGCACATCTGGGACATCTTGTATTGGTTCACAGGACGCAACCGATTAGTGTGTGTCTCCAGTCAACTTGCCAAACTTTCCTAGTCATTCTAATACTTGTCTACAGTTTCAATTGTAACTTTTTATGTAGAAAATCAGAATCTACAAACAAATAATAATTTTATTTCTTTCAAATCTTTATACCTTTTATTAATTTTTATTTTACGCTGCATTTGCTAAGACCACCAGCACAGTGCTGAAGAGAAGCAGTAACTGTACGTCTGACTCTCTGGGCCATGTCTTTGAAGGGAATATTTCTAACGCTTCACTCTTAAGAATAAAGTCTGCTGTAGAGTTTTTCAGTTTCAGGTAGCTACTTTCTATTCCTAGGGTGCTAAAAAGTCATGAATGCCTTTAATTTTTATCAAATCCTTTTCTCCATCTACTGAAGATCCAAATGGTTTTTATTCTTATATCTGTCTGTGAATTACCTTCAATAATTTTTGCAATGTTGCAATATCCTCACGTTCATGTGATATATCCTTGGTCATGACTTAAACATACGTTGCTGGATTTGGTTTGCTAGCTTTTAACTTGCAAGTGTTGTGCGTATGCACCCACACATCAAATTAGCCTCCGATTAATTTTTCTCTTTCATGCTTTGCTTTGTAGAGACCTCATAATGGGTTGGGAAGCATTCTTTCTTGTGATCTGAAAGGGTCTATAGAGATGGAGACCAAACCTCTAAGCACTGATTTGGTTGCAGTCTGCAAGTTTTAATAGAAGTTTTTTCATTACTCTTTCAGTTTTAAGTTTTTGATTTCCATTACAATCCCTTTTTTGACCCATGAATTTAGAAGTGAAGTTAATTTCCAAATATATATATTTTTAAAGCAATTATTTTGCTACTGAATTCTAATGATTGCTATATGCCTGCAGAAAATGATCTGTATGATCCTGAACCTTTGGTTTAGATGGGCCAAACTTTGTAGCCTGTATACAAGTCAATTTCTACTATGACGAAAGATTTGTTCATTTTTTATACTTATGTATTTTGAATCCACTAGACTTAAACTACAGTCTTCTGAACACTACAAAAAAAAAGAGAGAGAGAGAGAGAAAGGCACTTAGGGAGCCAAACTCTCCATCTCTTCATTAAGATTTAATGAGTTTAATGGAGATATTAGAAAGATGTCAGGCTAATGTCTGAACCCACGTTTGAAGCAAATTGAAGATGTTAATATCTGAGTTTTCTCCCCCACCGTCCTCCCAACAACCAGAAGCTGCCAGTACGATCGAGCCCCTGGTTACCTTTTGAAGACCGCGGTTTCTGTCTTGGCATCTACAGTGAGGCTGAGAGTTTCCTTCATGCCGCCATTCATCACTGTCTCAGTTACCTTGTCTGTACTTTCTGCATCCTCCTCTCCGTCAGAGCTGGCTTCCATGGCCATACTGCCTGGCGCTGAAAAGAACATACAGCTGATGGTCACGCATATCAAAACCAAAGAAGGACTGTCACCCCTCTTCTGTGCAGAGCCATCCACCCAAAGTTGCATCTACTGCTTGAAGAAGAAGAAAAGAGTGAGACGGTTTGCCTGTTGTTGCCTGGGCTGATTCCTGATGGGCACAGGCTTTTTAAAAATGCCCACTAGGGAGACAATTCAGGCGTTTTCTTCAGCAGGACCAGCAAGCCCCCACAGCCTTCCCAGTTCTATGTCTACCCACATACCCAACTTTCGCCCAGCAGACTCTCCTGTTCCTAATGTTTTCCAATGCACAGTAGAGGGCGAAGCACGCAGTTGTGTATTCTAGCCTTCACCCACTGCAACTCACAAGCGCCTAGATTACAGTTTATCCACTGTACCCTTCTCATTCATCCTTTTCCCTTTCAGTTGGTCCCACTTGGGTCCTATTCTTTTTTTTAAGTTACTTTCTTGTGGATTATTTCTTTGTTCTATAAGAGGGAGCCATATGGTATATTGGTTATGAGCTTGGGCTCTGAAGTCAGACTTCCTGAATTCAAACCCGAGCCTCACCACTTCCTAGCTGCGTAACCCTTGGGCAAGGTACTTGCCCCGTGCCTGAGTTTTCTTGTCCCCCAAATGGGGATAACTGAACCCACCTGTAGAATTGTTGAGGGATAAAATGAAGTCATCTAGATAAACTGTTTAGAAGAATGACAAATAAAATAGTAGTTACTGATTTTATGACTTTTCCCTGCCTCTTGGTTCTTGTGCCCTCTACTCGCATTTCTTTTTCTAAGGACTCATTTCTTTGTTCCCTTCACATACTACCCCTTACACCCCCTTCCTAACTCCCTTCCTCTCCCCCCACCTCCCAAGGCCTTAATCATCAGGCTGAAAACAGTTCAGGGCCCATGCAAGGAACAATGTGAGCATTCTGAATAACAAGACAACCCACTGGATTCCCCTGACCATTTCATCTGTTCATAAAGGTGAGAAGAAAATAAACAGCCCCACAGCATGAGACATGCCCAGATACCCACACACGCTCCAGCAAAGCAAACTCCAAGGGGCAAGGGAACTGAGTGCAGGCTGGGCTTGGAACGCACATGCAGACTAATTCACCCTGGTACTGCAGGCTAAGACGTTCCTCCTCTCTGGGCCTGTTTCCTTTTCTGTACACTGACAGGACTGAATAATTGATAACTCAGACCCCTTACTCCTTCTAGAATCAACATGCTGTGGTTCTGGGGTGAATATACAATTTCTCTTCTTCAGTTATCCTGTGGACATTAGACCCACCATCTCATTTTGCTGGCTCCTTTGAGCCCTTGAGCCCAAGAGTCAAGTCTGGTTTTATAAACCTGGTATGTGGCCAAAGACAACTTTCAGATCTAGAAAACTAAGCATCAGATTGAAGCTTAAACAAGAACAAAATGACCAGCCCACAGACTGTGCACCCTGGTCCTCTCTGCACCCACCTTCCGGCTGCACTGCCAGTGCAGCAACACTGGGAGTCAGAGGGTCCATCGGTTCAGTGCTGGTTTCCATTTCCACTGGAGAATTACTCCTTAAAGAATCTTTTGTACTTTTAGAAAAGAGAAAATTCAGATGTGAGCAGTGGGAAATAGCTCTCAGTTAACATTATTCACAAAGAACCTTTGAAAACCAGTTCTGGTTCCACTGGGGAGACACATCAGCAGTTGAGTACAGACTCCAATGACACACGGATCTAAGCGTGGACGGCTGCTTGAAGTGGTAGACGAGTGACAGAGGTAAACATTCTGCTAAATCAGCAGGGCAGTAATGCAGGGACTTCTTAGAGGCTTCTAGACAGGTTCAAAATCCCCCCAGCCTCTCTTGCTCAACATAATCACCAAGCTCCCAGGGCTAGGACGGCAGTAGCATACACTGTACGGTACCAATTGTATCTACAGTGCCATTTTTACAAAAATCCTTACTTACCTTTAGCCAAACTGCCCAGAGGGCCCGGCTCTCTTAATGACATTTAATGAGAAAACATGACCTGTGCACAAGGGGTAAAGGGAAGCAAGCTGCTTCAATCGTATCCTCAAGTAACCAAGGGCCCTTATCCTCCAGTTATGAAAAGAGAGAAAAGCAAGAGGTAAAGACTTGACTGTCCTGCACTGGAGAAGAGGTGGTGAAACAGTTCATAATATCGTGGAGATATTTTCCACCAACCTCCCCTTTACCTCTGAGTAACAGCTTACTGCTATAAAGCAACCTGGGTTCTAGCCTCCTTTGTGGTCTGTCTAGGACGGTAACCGCTAGCTTGTAACAATTTGTCTTGCTGTCTTTTCCATTACTAGTGACTGTTTAAAAATATCACTTGTTAGAGCAGGAAAGCAACAAAGTTGTTCAAAAGGAGTGACGGAGATTGATTTTTTCAGTAGACAAAACCATGTTTAGCAAATCAAACTAAGCTTAATGGGACATGAAATCCACGGTTAATACTCAAATGCTGCCATATTATTCAGGAAAATTACAAAATGACAGGTTGCTGTCATCAAGAATAATACAAATAACAAGACTGACAGCCACACCTGTCACACCCCTGAATTTACCGCACTAGACTAACTACAAGTGAAATACGAGTTCATATTATCTATTCAATTCCAGAGACGGTTTGCATTTTTCTGTAATGCTCCACACAGAGATGCCTGTCAGGAGTTCCTTGGCTTCCCCTCCTTCCTTTCTCCTCAATCCTGTCCTGACAGCTTGGTGGGGTCAGGAAAAAGCTCTCAGGGAGGCCAGCTTCGTGGGCATCCTGCAATCAGCTCCCCGGCCTGTCTTCACTGGCTCCTTGGTTCACCGTCCACTCCCTTTCCCAGTTCATCCCGGATGAAAGGAAGGAGGATGGTGACTCCTCTTCTTGTACCTCACAGCTGTGTCAGTATCTCCCCCATGTCAATTTCTAATTTTGTTTAAGACACTATATTCAACTTGGAAGTAAATCAGGGTGACCAGGAGTGTCAACAGCACGCACACACCACACTGGTTCTCCTGTGGAAAGGCTCAGAGAGCAGACACACGTCTGCTCACCTCAGGGAAGACGTGAACTCTGAGAAGGAAGCCCAGCCCGTCTCTTTGGTTGGCATTGGCTCCTCTGTGCTCCAGACGTCAGACCCCACCGAGTCTAAGGGAGCACCGTGGGTTGTCTCCATGGGGACATCAAAATTGGCCGACCAGTTGGGTGCTAAAAAGAGGAGAGGAATTCCGTTTTGAGAATACTTCAGCAGTTTAATGTAACACAAGATATTTTTCAAAAACAGATTTGCAATGATAAAAAAGACCGGAGTCGTGGGGAAAAAGATGTTCTAATATGCTATTGCTACCGTAGGAATGGCACAGTCACTCAGAGGGCAATTTGACAACATCTATCCTGTTATAAAACTGGATGTTTCCTTTGCTCTCTTAGCAATTCCCATTTCTAAGATTTTTTTCCCAATACAACCATCACACAAGGATGCAAAGCTACATATAAAAGAATATGTTAATGTTAATTTCTTAGTTTTGACAAATGTACCAAGGTTATATTAACATGGGGAGGAAGACGGGTGAAGGGTATACAGCCACTCCCTGTATATTATTTGCAACTTTCCTGTAAATCTAAAATTACTCCAAAATAAAAAGTTTATTAAAGAACAAAAAAAAGTACGTTGGCTATTTACTTGCAGTAAACTAGAAACACCCTTAACGCTCGCTCCCCAATCCACATCTGGCCCACTTCATACTTTAAATGGCTTCCCTGCAGTCTGCTGTTGTTAGCACAAACAGGAAGCCTTCCTGTGACATAATGGGAAATACATATTTGGTCTCCGCACAACCCCCAACCCTGGGAATCTCTCAAGCATTAAGTTTCTTCTTGCATGCTAATGAGATGACTGGTGGCTGGGGCTCCAGGAGAGCCTCAGGATGGGGGCTGGCTGCCAGGGGATCCATCACAGGATTAGAGGTTGGAACTTTCAGCCCCACTCTCACCCCATCTTCTCCTCCCCCAATCTTCGAGGAAGGCAGAGGAGCTGGAAGTTGAGTTAACCACTAATGGCCAATGATTGAATCAGTCATGCCTGCTTAATGAGGCCTCCGAACTGCAGGGGTTCAGAGCTTCTGGGTTGTGAGTAGAGGGTGGTGCATCACAAACTCCCTGGGGACGGAAGCTCCTGTGCTCAGGACCCTTCTGGATCTTGTCCTAGTTCTCTCTTCACCTGACTCTTCACCTGTATCCTTCAAAATATCCTTTGCAATAAATTGGTAATAGCAAGTAAAGCGCTTCTCCAAATTCCATGAGCTGTTCTAGCAAATAATGGAACCCAAAGAGGTCGTGGGAATTCCTAATTTACAGCCAGTTGGTTAGACGTTCCGGAGGCCGGGACTTGTGATTGGTATCTGAAGTAGCGGGCAGTCTTGTGGGACTGAGCCCCTAACCTTCGGGGTCTGACTCTAACTCCAGGTTGATAGTGTCTGAATTGAACTGTAGGACACCTAGCTGGTGTCTGAGAATTGGTCTGTGTGGGAAAACCCACACATCTGGGGTCAGATGCGAAGTTTTGACACTAGAGAGGAAAGAGTCTTTCTTACTTACTTTCTAAGTCCTGCAGACACAAGACTGACTTTAGAGGTCAGAGTGGCAGGGTCTGCCAGGCGCACGCTACTTCCTGTCTGTGGGGCCCTCTCACCATGCTGCCTGCCGGCCAAGTGTGCATCTACCCTGCAGGTCTCTGTTTAAATGTCACTTCCTCAGAGATGTGTCCCTTCAGACGAAATTAGGTCTGTTTATTTGCCCTCATCGCACACCATGCTTTTCTTCACAGTACTTATGCTGAATCCCCAAACGCTTGTTGGGGACAAGTTGGGTGTGGGAACCACTGTTCTCTATCAGGGATATTTTCTATCACAGTTGGGACCCTCCAGGCTGTAGGCTAGGGAATCTGCTAGCTATTTGGGGGATTATCGTAGAAAGAAAGGACTGAGAAATCCCTGTGTGTAACAGAAATGTTACCGTTTGTTAAACAGAGACCTTACTGTGACTTGGGGCAAGTCAACTTAACTTCCCCAAGCCTGGGTTTCCTCATCTGTTCAATTCAGATAGGGACTGTCTACTTCGAGAGGTTCTGCAGAGGAGGACATGAGGGCCTGCACTGGCAGGTACTGAATTTGCGTGTGTTCCTCACCTCTTGCCCTTCAATCTGTGGAGTGTGGCAGGGCTCCACTGATACCAAAGAGGGATGATACCAGAATGTTTGAAAACCTCCCCCGACTCAGAAAAGTCAACTTGACAGATACCTTGCCTGCCCACCACATGCAAAGCTCTGGAATCATTCCACCCAAATCGAAGTTCCACTTTATAATGAAATTAGGCTACATTAAAATGACTATCCCAGTTGTTATCACTCTGGGATATTCTTCCCCAGATCAGCTCCCCAGAATCAGTCTAACATTAGAAACTCTTTTAAAACAGTCCAGAAAACCTCTGAGAGAAGCCATAGAGATTGGTGGGGACAGCAGAGGCTCTCAACGTCAGAGGATGGGGCAGCCCAGAGCCCTGGGAGAAGAGCATCTCTCGCCCTGACTTCTGGAGATGTGGCAATTCGAAGGAGGTCTTTCCCAAGGAGCAGAGGCCGGAGGGCTGAGACCTGCCAGGCTGCACTTAGTGGGAATAAGGGCGAATGTGACCTTCCTCCAGGATGCCCTGTCTCTCCCTGTCCCTAGACCGAGTTCTACAGTCACAAGGAGAGTGGCATGCAGTAAGTCATACCAAGTGTGCAGTCTCCCTCAAGTCACTTATCACCCACCTAGCTACCCCAAAGAACCAGATTCCAGAATATTATTCAGCATTAAAAAAAGAAGGAAATCCTATCACATGCTACAACGTGCAGGAACCTTAAGGACATTATGCTAAGTGAAATAAGCCAGTCACAAAAAGACAAATACTCTGATTCCACTTAGAAACAGAAGGTAGAATGGTGGGTGCCAGGGACTGGGGAGGGGGTATGGAGAGCTGTTGTTCAGTGGGTATAGCTTCAGTTTTGCAAGATGAAAAAGTTCTAGAGATCTGTTGCACAACAATGTGAATATACTTAATGCTACTGAACTGTACACTTGAAAACAAACACAAAGACGCACATTCTAGAGCCAAAACGTCAGGGCCTGTCTTCTCTCTCCTTCCCCCTGCTGCCTGGCCCCTGTCCTCATCAGCCCTCCTCATGTCTTACGTGTAACAGGGAGGGTCTTAACGATGTTCCTGTCTCCAGCGTGGGCTTTCTAATCCAGCTTTCACACTGTTGCCATGAGTGATCGTCTTGAAACAGAGTCAATGACGTTCTTCTTAGTAAAGTCTTCAGGAGGAGGATTACAGCCTTCAGAATAAAATCTTGTTCTGGCCTCCGGCCTTATATCCCATATTAAACAGCTGTGGATCTCTGTGCCCCCATATTAGTTCTTTTCTCTGTCAAACTGACTGTCCCATCCCTCCTTGTCCTTCAGTATCACGTTCTCCGGGAGGCCGCTGCAGATGCCCGGATGAGCTGGCTCTCCCCCTGCAGCTCCCCCAGCACTCTGTTCTCATTACACTGTGCTGTCCATCTCCCCATTTCCTGAGCAGACTTTAAGCTCCTGGAGGCAGTCTGCCCCAGCACCTGGCACACAGTGGGAACTTGACAAAAGTTGATGTGAACTGCATTACAGAGAGAAAAGCCCATCTCTTCCTCCTCAAGAGGGCGAGCTGGGAAAGGAACGAGAGGACACAGGATAAATCTGTTTTCTTCTGTGGCTCTCAGTTTCAGATCTGTTAACATGTAGGGATTTGCTAGATTACTGCTAAGGTCCCAGGCAGCTCTGAGGTCACGACAAGGTCGACCCCGACCCCTGGAGCTGGGTTTCAGCCTCTAGAACTGTGTACATAAAGGTCTTCCTGAGGAACAGGCAGCACTGTCAGCCTTGAGGAAAGCCCCAATATCAATCCATATGGCTCAGTCACATAAAAATCTGTCTGAACTTTCAGAAGTTAACAGTATTTTTTTTTAAATTTATTTATTTATTTTTTTTTTGTGAGGAGATCAGCCCTGTGCTAACATCTGCCAATCCTCCCTTTTTTTTTTTGCTGAGGAAGACTGGCCCTGGGCTAACATTCATGCCCATCTTCCTCTACTTTATATGGGACACCGCCACAGCATGGCCTGACAAGCAGTGCCTCGGTGCACGCCCGGGATCCGAACCTGTGAACCCTGGGCCGCCGCAGCGGATTGCGTGCACTTAACCGCTTGCACCACTGGGCTGGCCCAGAAGTTAACAGTATTTTTAAAAGGCCAGCCAATGTAAGTCTTCTTAGCAAGTAGCAGGACATAAACAAGCACTTAGCTGGGCAAGTTTTGGGTTAACAAAATTCATAAATAAACTCTGAGGAACCCATCTGAAATCATTTAAGCTTCAAGGTGTTCCCTCCAGTTTAGTGCATTCATGATTGTACAAATCACAGTATTTTCTCATCTTTCCACAATCCGTGGTCTCTCCCCTTCTGCTATGGCATCCAGTCTCTGAAGCCCGACTCACACGGGCTGTCCACACAGCAGGGCAACACCCTATCATCAGAGGTCTACCTTGCTCCTTCCCTCAGGCCTTGTCCTTGAAACCTAAACCTCCAAGGGGACTCAACAACAATATGTGTTTCAACTTAACTATTCCTTCAGAAGTCATCTCAGATGCTGCAGACCAGTTTGCCTATTTTTAAAATACTTATTTTCAACACACAGCAACTACTATGGAAGAATAAAGCAACTTACGTTCATTCAAGTCTACCTCCATTTTATCCTCTGTGTTGGCACTACTGGATTCGAACAAGTCTTGTTTTGCTCCATCTTCTTCTTCTGAGTCTGTACTTTCCTCACTGTCTGTACTGCCCGAGCTAAGGGAAAAAAGGACCAAAATGTTTAATGCCGCATATCAGCCACCAGCTAAATCTAGAAAATTCTAAAGGTCATCCAACAACAAAAAAATCTTACTGCACTTCAACTGGATCCTATCTGCCTGGCTGTCATCTTGTTAAGACTTTGCTTGTGAGTGTGCTGCCTGATGCTACTCGAGGCCGCCAGCTGCTCTACCACTTGGCCTTTGTGTCGACGCAGATCACACTGAGCCCGCCTTCTGACTGTGTAGGGATCTCGCAGTGTGGACGTGCACTTCCCTGAGGACCAAGCATGCTGAGCTTCTTTTCACCTGTTTATTTGCCAATCACATATTTTCTTCGCTAAAGTGTCTTTTCACATCTTCATTGCATTTAAAAAACTGGGTTATTGGGGGCCAGCCCGGTGGCGTAGTGGTTGAGTTCACATGCTCTGCTTTGGCAGCCCAGGGTTCACAGGTTCGGATGCCAAGCGCGGACCTAAGCACTGCTTATCAAGCCACGCTGTGGCGGCGTCCCACATATAAAGTAGAGGAAGATGGGCACAGACATTAGCCCAGGGCCAGTCTTCCTCAGGAAAAAGAGGAGGATTGGCAATGGATGTTAGCTCAGGGCTAATCCTCCTCACCAAAAAAAAAAAATTGGGTTATTGCCTTATGTCTTATTACAGAGTTTTTCATAGACTCCACATAGAAGTCCTTTATCAGATATATGATTTGCAAAGATTTTCTCCTAGTGTATACTTTGTCCTTTTGTTCTCTTAATAGTGTCTTTTGAAGAGTATAATTGTTTAATTTTGATGAAATTTAACATCAAAATTTTTCTTTCACATGTAGTGCTTTTGGTGTTGTATCTTAGAAATCTTTGCCTAACCCAAGGTCACAAAGATTTTCTAATATAAGTTTTATAGTTTTATGTTTTACATTTAGGTCTAATATTCATTTTGAGTTAATGTGTATATATGGTAAGAAATACGGATTGAGTTCATTTTTTTGCATATAGATGTCCATCTGTTCCAGCACAATTTGTTCAAAAGACTATCCCTCCACTGAATTGCTTTTGCACCTCCATCAAAAATCAATGTTTATACCTATTTCTGGGCTCTCTATTCTATCCCCCTGACCTATTCCCCTTCTTAATCATCACACTATCATAATTACTGTATCCTGAAATCAGATAGTATTAGTCCTCCAATTCTGTCCTTTATGAAAGTTTTGCCTATTCTAAATCCTTTGCGTTTTCATATGAATTTAAGGATCAACTTGTCAATAGCTACCAAAAACCTGTTACAATTTTGTTTGGGATTGCACTGAATCCAGATCAATCTGGGGAGAAATGGCATCTTAACAATGTTGAGTCCTCCACTTCATAAACATTTATCAAGTGTTGATTTCTCTCAGCTGTTTTGTAATTTTCAGTGTACAGGTACTGTACATCTTTTGTCAGATTTACCCCTACATATTTAATATTTTGACGCTACTATGAATAATACTGTTTAGTAATTTTGATTCCAATTATTTGTTGCGGTATGTAGAAATACAATTATATTGATCTTGTGTTGTGCAATTTTGCTAAACTCACATAATTATCTTTTTATAGATTCCAACAAATTTTCTAAATTGACAGCTATGTTGTCTGTGAACAAACCCAGTTTTACTTTTTCCTTTCCAATCTAGATGCTTTTATTTCTTCTTCCTGACTTACTGCACTGGCTAGAACCTCCAGCACAATATTGAAAAGCAGTGGTGAGAGCAGACATCCTAGTCTTGCTCCTGATCCTAGCTGGAAATCGGTCTTTTATCATTAAGTATAATGCTAACTGTAGAAGTTTTAATCAGGTTGAAGAAATTCCCTTCTATCTCCAATTTGCTGAGAATTCTTATCAGAAATAGATGCTGGATTCAAGCTACATGCTTACTGATTTTTCAAACGTTAAACCAACTCTGTCTTCTTAGAATAAACCTTGCTTGGTCATGATGTATTATTGTTGCATTTATTCGCTAAAAATTTTAAAGGGGTTTTTGCATCTACGTGCATGAGAATAATTGGTCACTTTTATTTTCTTGTAATGTTAGCTTTTGGTACCAGGTTACACTGATGTGGCCTCATAGAATGAGATGGGTACTATTCCCACCTTTTCAATTTTCTGGAAGCTTTTGTATAGAACTGGCATAATTTCTTCCTGAAATGTCTGGCAGAATTCACCAGACACACCATCCAGGCCTGGAGTTTTTTTGTGTGTATGTGGGATGTTATAAACTACAATTTCAACTTCTGTAATAGATACAGGACTATTCAGGCTATCTTTTTTTGCTTACCTTTGGTAGTCTGTGTCTTTCAAAGACCATCCAAGCAGTCAGAGTTACTGGCATAGAGCTGTTCATAATATTCCCTTGTTATCTTGTTAGTATCTGCAGAGCCTGTAGTGATGCCAGCTCTCTCACTCCTGATAGTAGTAATTTGTATTTTCCTTCCCTTGACCATTTTATCTGGAGGTATCAATTTTATTAATCTTCTCAAAGAACAGCTTTCGATTACAATGATTTGTACTGTTTTTCTGTTTTGCATTTCATTCTAGTTTCTTACGGTGGAAGCTGTGGTCACTGACCTGAGATTTTTTGTTTAAACGAGCAGTGTATTAGTGCTGAAAACGATCCCTGAAGTACTGTTTTAGCTGCATCCTCCAAATTCTGATATACTGTGCTTTCATTTTTTTTCAATTCAAAATACTGTGTAATTTCCCCTTTGACGACTTCTTTAACTCATGTGTCACTTCGTTTCCACATATTTGGAAGATTTCTAAAGATCTTTCTGTTACTGATTTCTAATTTAATTCCACTGGGGTCAGAGAACATACTCTGTATGACCTGAAACCTTTGGAATTTATTGAGACTTGCTTTATGGCCCAAATATGGTCTCTCTTGGTAAATATTTCACATATACTTGAAAAGAATGAGGATTCTGCTGTTGTTGGGTGGATTGCCTTATAAATGTCCAGTAGAGTCAAGTTAGGTGATAGTATTAAATGTTCTATATCTTTACTAATTTCTGCCTACTGTTTCATCAATTACTGAGAGAAGACTGTTCAAATATCTGATTATAACTGTGATTTGTCTACTTCTGTTTGCAGTTCTATCAGTTTTTGTTCCATGTATCTTGAAGCTCTGTTATTAGTTATGTAGACATTCAGAATTGTTATGTCCTCTTTTTTGTTTTTGTTGTTTTGCTGAGGAAAACTGTCCCTGAACTAACATCTGTGCCCATCTTCCTCTATTTTGTATGTGGGACGCTGCCACAGCATGGCTTCATGAGCAGTGTGTAGGTCTGCACCCGGGATCTGAACCCATAAACTCTGGGCCACCAAAGTGGAGTGCACAAACTTAACCACTATGCCACCAGGCCAACCCCATTATGACCCTTTCTTTATTCCTTTTCTTTGAAATCTACTTTAATATTAACATAGACCCTCTACTTTTTCTTTTAACCTGTTTGTGTCTCTATATTTAAATTATTTCTCATAGGCAGCATAAGTTTGACCTTATTTTTAATCCAATCTGACAATCTGTGTTTTAATTGTGGTTTTTGGATCATGTATTTAATATTATTTAAATGATCACTGATGTGGTTGTTTATAGGTTTAATACTATCATCTTGCTATAGTCTTCTGTTCCTCCCAGTTGCCTTTTATTCTTTTGCCTTCTTTTAGATTTTTTATGATTTAATATCCTTTGTTGGCTTATTAACTCTAACTCTTGGTTTTATTTAGTGGTTGTTTTAGGGTTTACAGTATACATCTTTAACTTATCACAGTCTATTTCAAGTGATATCATAGCCAAAAACTGGAAACAACCCAAATGTCCATCAACAGATAAAGATAATAAACTAATTGTAGTATATCCACTCAATGGATCACTACTCAACAAGAAAGAGGAATGAACTATTATTACATTACACAACATGGATAACTCTCAAAATAATTATGCTGAGTGAAAGAAGCTAGACAAAGAAGCATAGAATGTGTGGTTTCATTTATAGAAAACTCTAGAAAACACAAATCATTCTAGAGGAAGAGAAAGCAGATGGGGGGAATGTACTACAAAAGGGCAAGGGGAAACTTGCAGGTGATGGATAAGTCCATGATGTTGATTGGGATGATGGTTTCATGGATGCAGACATAAGTCAAAACTTACCATTTGTATAATTTAAATAAATGCAGTTTATTATATGTCAATTATACCTCAAAAGAATTGTTAAATAATAAAAAACTGCCTTCTCTCATCATCCTGTGTTCCCTCTGGGTATCAACTGTCAATTCCCCAGGACACTGTCCTCACTGCCACACTTAATTCTCTACACTCTCTACAGAGGGTGCTCTGTTAGGATGTACTGCACAGCTGTAACATGTAATGTGTAATGTCTGCCTCCAGAGGACAAATGGTAGTAGGCAATGGCCATTTAGTGAATTCCCTCAACATGAGGACCAAAGTTTCAAAGCACATGGTGACAAACAAGTTTGACTGGGGCTTTACCTTAAAAAAACAAAAACAAAACAAAAAAAAACACCACCATGAAGATATTTGTCTCTTGCTGCCTGGTCCTGGAGCTGCAGCAGCTATCTTGTGATCACAAGGTGAACAAACGCACATGCAGAAGATGACAGAGTGGGAATAAAAGAAAGAAGCTGGGGGGCCGGCCCTGTGGCTTAGCGGTTAAGTGCGTGCGCTCCGCTGCTGGCGGCCCGGGTTCGGATCCCGGGTGCGCACTGACGCACCGCTTCTCCAGCCATGCTGAGGCCGCATCCCACATACAGCAACTGGAAGGATGTGCAGCTATGACATACAACTATCTACTAGGGCTTTGGGGGAAAATAAATAAATAAAAAAAAAAAAAAAAAAAAAAAAAAAGAAGCTGGGTTTAATGACCTTAACAGCTCTGGATTGTGAGAGAAATACACCTTTGCTGATTTAAGCCACTGCTGGATCTTCCGTAACCTGAAGCAATAAGCACTCCTAAGAGATGAAACGTAACTGCCGGTACATGCAGAGGACAGGCGACGTTGACACACTCCATCCAGAAGAGAAATGGATGGCTAGGAGACAGGGGTGGGAGGAGTTTTACTTTTCACTGTATACTCTGTTTTCTTTGTATTGTATGCCATGGGAAAACATTACTTATTAAAAATAAATGAAATAAAAACAAAAGTTCAGCTGCTGTTCTCTTAACTATGCAGATGCTGATAATGAATACGCAGATAACAAGAACGCCCTTTGTAAAAAAGCAAATTTATTTAGGTTCGTGTAATAGGGTGACTTAAAATATTAAGGGAAAAAACAAGACTGAATTGATCCTGATGAGTATCAACTGACAGAACTCTGTCTCCCCAAGTGAGATTAACTTTCAGAAACATCTTTGCTCTCCTTGGGGACACTTTCAGTCTTTCCTAAGAAACAATACATAGCTCAGCTGCGGCTGTTATTACTGGTCAGGGAACATTCATTCAAAGCACTGTATGACTACATTGTTCAGCATGGTTTCCCATTCAGGAGATGCTGTGTCACAAGGTTTCATGAACGAGGTCTAAATACTTTCAGCATTTTCAAGTAGATCACCTTGACATGTCCATACTCCTGTCACACTGCAGACAGGAGTAGTGGCACCAACTCACATCAATGAACAAGGGCATTTCTGATCATGACAAAAGCACTGGTCTCTAGCTCACATATACCTGTTTGCAGAGGACACAACGTCTGTCTCCTAAATAACCCTTGGCTTTATGCACCGGGTATCATTACTACTGTAACAAACTCGCTCTCACCTGGATCGTCTTTGGGATTCTGGCGTAAATGCAATGTGCTTTTCCTCCCAGATATCTTCCTCATCAGAGCCTCCATCATCAAATTGCTGTATTCTTTCCTTACAACATGCTTCAAACAAGGCAATATTTCCCTAAATAAAAAAAAGAGAGAGAGAGAAAAAGAACAAATTTTAAAATCAAGTTACTTTCTCTAAAAGTTACCAATGTAAATTGCATTCTTTCATTTCCTTTAAAAAATGGTGCCTATCACATACACCAAAATAAAATGTAAACACCTAACATTAGCTTCTGTAAGTAACAAAAAGTTCCCCCTAAAAGACTGGATTCAAAATTAGCAAATGAGAAGCGGAGACTGTACTCAGGGACTCACTTTCATCCAGTAAAAGCATTATTTTAAATCCAAGTGCCTCCCTGCCTCACCCACCTAAGATGCAGTCCCAGATGTGTCCTAAGGAACATCAACCTGCATTTACTCTGCTTTTACCAGTCCAGCTAAGCAGTGAAGAGCATCAATGGTCCAGTCAATAGTTTCTACCTTATCACATCAGCTAATAAACCAGTGGTCTCTCACGCTAGTCAACATAAAAATCAAGACTGTACCCATTCAAATGACACTAATCCTATGTTATTTGCTCATTTGGCTGATTTGCTGTTTCAGAACTGCCTGGTTTCTCTCCTGGTGACATACAGCAGACATAAAAGGCAGCAGGCTGGAGTAAACTGCAGTCTTTGAAGCTCAATTCTACACTGCAATCACAAGTGACCCTGGTTTTATTAGCCCTGTCATATCTTCACCCAGGCTGGACTCACATGCAAACTCACATGCCCACAGGGGCCAGGCAGGTCATGTGAGTGGGTGAAGTAACACCAATCTAAGATGAAGGTTCCTAGAGCACAGAGGGTCCCAGTGCACACAGCATCCATATGCAGACTCTGACAGAACCCAGTTCCCACCTCTCCATCTCTCATATGCCTGTTGCTCAGGACAGGAAACATTAATACTTACACTTTCATTTGTATTGAGAGTAAAGTTGATGTCTGATACCCGATCAAAAGAAACACTGTAAACAAAATGTAAATGTAGGAATAGTTAATTATCTATAGACTCAAAGAAACAGTATTCATGAGATTTTCCAAACTTAAAATATTTGTGCTATCATTAAAATCTTCATAAGAAAAAAAAAAACCTGCCTGCATTAAATAATATCTCCTCCCTTGGTATGAAGGAATTTATCCAGGATGAGAAGGCTGAAAGGGAAGCCTTCTGAGACATAATAAACACACCCTCAAAGCCTTTCTATCAAACACTTTTAACATCCATAGTTACAATCACGGGTCCATGGGCCATACTTATATAATCAAGAAAAAGGTTATTTGCAAAAAAGAAACAAGTCAAAACATGAAAAGTACATAAAAGCTGTCAGACACTGAGCTTTCTCTAGACACTCTCGAAATCTTACGCTATAATGTGGCATAATCAGGAAGAAAGTAGGGAGTAAAAGAATTCATAGCCCACTTAGACATAACTTTTGAGTAGGCGGGGCTATCTTATAATTCTCAAAAGATCTGTCTAATCAATCATTATTCCAATACTCAACACAAATTTTAAAGAGACTGTGGATTCCTAACTAATAACATTTATTAAGAGTCCAGACAGGCAAATGCTGAGATGCCACATGGGGAACCTGCAGGTTCCAGTGTGACTGCTCCTAGGGTACAGACACAAACACTGCATGCAGAGTCTTTGCTCTTTTTGGATGTAAATGAGCCAATTCTTAGGGCAGCTGACAGCCTTCAACTCCTGTTCTGTTTACAGTGGAGATTCTGGCACAATTAGTGTGCTGAAAAAAAAACTTCTCTCATGCTATAAACAAACTACAGCCTCCACTGGCTGTAGTTCAACAAACTATTGAGTATCTATGGCTAGCAAGGAACCGTAACAGATACTGGATGTTCATGAGCATTATCAGGGAAGCCTCTGTGAGAGGAGCCATCCAATAGTCAAAACTCTGTTCTCAATGAGCTATAATACCCCTCTTGTAAACATTTTATTTATAAATATCTCATTTCCCAAGGTCAGATGCTAGACCATTTGTTTTCATTTCTGTGGATCCCCTATACACCTTCTATTCATTAATTCCGTACAGTACCGATAATTCCCACTTCTGTGCTCCTCTTACCCTGACTACAGAATGAGTGCTCTGACTGCCTGGTTCTGGCAAAAAAACCTAACTTTACCTAGAGAAGAGAAGACACGTAGGGCGGGGCTGCTCCAGCCATAATAAAATACCCCTGTGTGTGCTGTCAATGAAATGAACCATGCTTGCTCAAACCAGTTAACTGATCGGGATGAACTACTTTAGATAACGCTGTCTCACACTAAAACCCAAAAGAGTAGGACAATGCCTTCAGTTCCTAAACCTCTCACACAGTAAACCTCTATGAAAGAGGCCAAGCCCAAACGCGATCCCTCTTTGTGGGGTGATGTTCTAATTCCTATGTGTCCTTTGGGCGCTTCAGGGCTGGAACTAAAGGAACACCTTAGAGGGCAGCTTTCTCCCAACTCACTAATCTGAAAGAGTTCCTAGAATCCAGGGGGATACAAAATGTCTCTCAAAGAGCAGGCGTGTACAAGACAATCATGGAAACAGGAAAACATACTCACTTGCCAATGTCATCTTGATCTGCAAACTTCTCATCGTTGAAGCCAAACTGGTCAATAAAATTGGACGTCATTTGTTGCATCTGATAATCAGAAAAGGCCTGGCAACCCCAGGACCAGTGACAGTGATATAATGATTCTAATGACATTCTACATACTATATGCCCATTTGTGTTCCAGAAACCATCTTATTTACATAGCCATAAGGCTTAAAAAGGTGGTGTGTTTTTCTAAAAGAAAAATCAAATAATTTCAGACACAATTTACCCATTAAAGGAAACGTTTGGAATTTGGTCCACAAGTCATTCTAATGCACATGTCATTGTAAGAAATGTTAAGTGACCACTCTGTCCTCTATTATGAATTATCTTTAGAGGGAGGTCTGGGTTAAGTCTAGTTCAAAGAGGTGATCAAGTGACATGTGACAGTCTGAAATTATAAGGTGTATCAGTCACCTCTGGACACAACCAACCTTATCCTAAGATCCAACAAGTGATAACCACCCACCCTCCCTCCCTCTTTGCACCTCCCCACCCCCAATCCACTACAGCACACAGCACCAGAGGAAAAATGACTAATAATCACAATCAAGATCCTACAAGACAACGTTCAGGGACTTCATTTTCTTAAAAAAAGATTTACGTCTTAGAGGCTGGGAAGAGTATAAAAGTAACTTCTATCCTACCTACCTTAGAAAGAGAATAGAAAGTTTCAAAACTGATCCAAAATCACTCTGGAAAGCCTAGAGCACTGTGAGATCTATGGAGGAGCCAATCCTGTTCCTACACCATTTCTAGAGAGCACCAGGCTCACTTGGGTATTCTTAGGTGCAAAATGGGGGAATGTTAAAACGATGTCCACAAAAATGCCGATATTCTAATTTAAAACAACAAGCAGGCCCAGGGGAGCAAGTGAAATCAGTGAATGTTCTACATGAAGATAAGCGAGTGCCACTCCTCTTTCTACCCCAAACAATAAACACAGAGACGACTAACAATGCGTGTGCTGCCCTGTGCACAGAGCTATGTACAGAAGAGACAGCTCTTTCCTGCAGGTAAGCCCCATCCAAGGGGCCTGAGCAGCAGCTGGTGGCCGGACGAAAGGCATCACTCCTGAGCCCACCTGCCGAAAGGGAGGTGGTTCTCCATTAGAGCAGAACCCACGGATTCTACCCTGCAGACATACACTGCAGAAATGCCTCTACCGTTAACTCCTGATCACTTATTCTGGTGGCAGGGAATTATGGCATGGATAATCCAAACTGCAGATAATTAAAAAATAAACCTTATATTTGGCTTTGGAAGGCATCTTTTCGTTAGGTCTGAAAAAAGCTGTATCTAGTTTACTGAGAACCTAAAACCTCATTTTTCTCTAACTCAAGATACCCACCACCCCCCCGTTCACTCTCAGACTTTCATGCTGTCCCCTTTCTCGCCCACAGAGATGATACTCTACGAGCACACGGGGGCATGAGGCCAGCCTCACAGGAGCACATCTGGCAAGGCACACCAAGCCTGAGCCATGGGAATTTGGTCGAAAGCAGAAGGGTGGAGCCAAGTTCTGGGAGGCTGGCCTGAGTTTTAGACATATGAATGGAAAATACAGTACATAGCATTCATATTCATTAAATCAAAAAGAAAGAAACCAATTCCTCTGAATTGCAGCTTTACCTTTTATAAGGTAAAATGAATGATGGAGAACTTCAAAGATGTGGTAAAGAATCATCAAGTTATTCTTGTGAGCAAGCAGCATAAGCCAGGCTCTGAATTTTATTTACAGATTAGAAATTTGGTCACACAAGGGGGAAGGTCCCTCCCAATTGTTTCATTTGATTTTTTTTTTCCTCTAATTTTTTTGTACCTCTAGAGATCACATTATGAATCTTTTGGGTGTAAAAGGGAAGAGATGTTCCCAAAAGTGTTCCTTAATTAAATGCTTCATAATACTTTAAATGCTGCAGAAACAGAATGCAAATACTAAACGTATTATAAACGTATATGTGAGAATATACACATATGTACAAACAGATATACAGATATACATATATACAACACATATTTGCATCGTCTATTTATCTATCTACCTACGAAAATATTTAGCAACTGGCAGACATAGTCACCTCCTTACACTAATGCAGAGGAAAAAGAAAACCAACCAACTGTAGTCCTCATTAGTTCTGAGTCTGTAGCTTCTAGGAAGATACAAACTAGAAAGAATTTCAGGTTTCAAATCTGATTTTTTTACTAATTATCAAGGCTTACTAAACGCACATAAGTGAAGACTGTTACTGTATTCTATTTAAAGCCATATAAAAAGTGCTTTGGACTCTGAGCAATCCAAATCTGGAAAGCATCATATGGCTGTGTAATTATTAAAAACTTTTAATTGTTTAAAACACACACACACACACACACACACACACACATACTTCCCAGAACTGTCATCCTGGCGAGAGCCAAGAACAGTTCAAGTCACTGAGAAGTGAGCCCACCACTTTCTGTACTCAGCAAATCTCTGTGGTGGTGCGCCCTGGGCAACAGAAGCTCCTAGTGCACCTCATCTGACCTGATTGCCCGGGAACAAGCCTGCGTGGAATAGGGGTGGTAGGAGGCGGTCAGATCTGTCCTCTGACTGAGTCCACCCGTGGCAGTCAGCCCTAATTCTCCAGACATGGCAAGAGGAAGACCGCTCTCTCCACACCTCTGTAAGGCTATGTAGGAGGAGGGAGAGTCAAACGCTAGAAAGGAGGAAACTGGGGGGAGGGGGTTGCCACAAAACAGGCAGGGGCACAAAGTTGTGAGGCACTCCCCAAGCCCAATACGGCCCCCAGGGGCCATGGTCAGGTCACCCTGTTAAATGAACTGCCTCGGGACTTTACCAACATGAGCCCTAACTTCAAATGGGAATGAGAACTTCAAGTTGACATACATAAACTAATATTTCAATTATAATGGAGACCAGCGAACCCGGACTTGTATTCTCAAATTAAAAAAAAAAAATTGGGGAGCATATTTCTTATTTTCAAAATGATCCATGATTGGTTCATAGTTTAAACAGGCAAAGAAAAGTTTACTGGAAGCTTGTCAATCAGAAAAGAATAATTACTTTTCCTACTTTTAGGCAAAATCTACAGGAACAGGCCTGGTGAGAGTTGTGTTACTAAGGCAGTTTTCTGACTGGGATTGCTTCATATGCATATCAGTAGCCAGTCAAACCACAAAAATGTCAGAAAATTCTCCCCAGAACAGCTATGACCCTGGAACCAGACTTCATGAGAAGTAAGGGGATCCACTTTCCAGATACCCAATGTAACCACTCCTCAATTAAATCAGTAGCCTGAAGTTCCAAGGTTATTTACAAACAGATGTTTGGGGCATTCTTTTTCTTAAAGCTCTTTCAACAGGTACAAAAATCACCGTGATAGTTTACATTTTACACCATCAAGCTTCATTATTGGTGGGGAGCAATGTGTAGCATTGGGGTTCACAGCTGGTTGAGTGGACTATTTCAGTACTCTATAGGTGCTTCAATGGAGAGAAAGGCTGTTGTCAAAGTGCTTCCTGGGGCAATACCAGAGAATTTTGGGACCAAGAAAGGACTGCTTGTAGGCACGAGGGCTCACAAAAAGCCAGGGTGAGCATCCTGGGTAGCTAGTGCTCCCAAACAGTAAGGCAAAGGCCTGCTGCGCTCTCTAAGGCCCTGCTGCTCCACAGCTCCCCCTATGGGCTGGCTGCTCCCTGTCCCTAACCTCTAGAGGTTGGCTTCCAAATGACAGCAGAGTTAAGAATCAACAGAGAAGGCAGGCAAGTGCTGAAATGCTACTTCAGATGCATTTCAGTGCATTCAATGCTACACCCTAAAAATGTGAATGTTAAATTGCCTTAGTATCAAAACCAAGCAATTGCCTAGCTCAACCTACAGTGGAGTATGACAGTCTACTGGGATGCCAAAGACAGGGCCGGCATAATCCTCAGAAGCTTCATCCTGGCCCTGGTAAAAGATGAGGTTTGAAGACTGAGAAAGAAGAAGCAAAGCAATATTCAGTGCCGGGTGGGAAGAGGACTACGTTAATTCTACCGCCACACCAAAGCCACTGACACGCCAAGGCCCGGCCCTGACTAAGGACAACTTCTCCATATGAAGAGCTGATAACTTTCAAAAGGGCTTCTATTTTTAGCTCCCAAACTTGATACCCAGTTGAGACATGAAATCATCTGTCATCTCTCCAAGAACCACCAATGGATGATAAATCAGTACATTTATTTTTATATCCTGTTTTCTCCCCCATAAAGACTACAAGCAGCTGATAAATGGAGATGAATTTAGAGGCAGGAGGGTAGGGTGGCAATGACTTACTTCAACTAAAACTTAATTTAGATGTCACTATAACAGACCTTAAAGATATTAGAAACATATAAGCCATTTGGCTCAGGGATATTTGTGAAAGTTACTTTTACTGACATTAAAAATGTCTTATTATTCTTACCCACAGATTTCTACTACAGGAATCTGTAAGCAACAACTAAACTACTATAAATGCATAATTTATTGTATTACATTGTATATGCATAATGAGCATATCTGAGACACTTACTATTCAGTTCACTGAAATCTGCCGAAAATCTACCTGACTCATCATTGTTATCAGTGATGTTATGTTATGAAACATTTCCTGGAAATATAATCAATATAAAACTTCCTCTCACGTACTCAACACTTTCTATTTTCAATGCTTTTGCTTAACTAATAAGTAACCCCATATTACATCCTAATGCATAATCTGACTCCAAAACTGATTCATAAATGGCAACTAGACTAAGCATTTAAAATAAAAACAAAAAGCAAAGCTTTTAGGCATGACTCACTTGCTGCAAAGAAGAATCCTGTGAGAAACCCGTTTCTTTAAAGTCAATTTCATCATCACTGGATGAATGAATATGGCAGGTTGTAACCTATATGCATAAAAATGTAAAAAACTATTTAACAGAGAAAAGTTTGACATTTGTATCAGCATTTTTATGGAAAAATCACATTTAGTTTTTCTCAATGTGTAACAACAGCAAGAACAAAGTAACAGTTAAGTTGTAAAATCCACCCAATAATTCTCAGCTACACTTCACTCAATCAGGCGGTTTGGCTTCCTGTCTTTCTGCTGCCCATTCGTGTTTCTTTCACCCATTACTAATAGCACTAGAAAACAAGTAAGAGATGCGTTACTGCATTTAAGTGATTTTGATAATTATCTCCAATTAAATGTTTACAAAGGGAAGGTAGAAGTAACGGTTCAGATGAAATATAAAAATAATTTATATGTTCCAAGCCTGAAGGGTAAAACTAATTCCTAGGGATTACTAATGAGCCACTAGAAAGGTCAGGTTTAAATATAACCATTTCACTTTAAATTCTTGCATTTTCTGCCCACTCAAGAAGAGCATTGTCCATAAGTGCTAAATATGACTTGAGTCAAAAGTCCCCTGCTCATAGAAAGACCCCAAATCTTCTGCCCCTTAAAATGTACCCCCCACCCTCAGAACTTACAACCAGCTCAAATAAACTAAGCAAAAACACAAACATGAAGTGATCACCAATTCATGGTAAGCGATTTTTATTAATTCATCCATGTTGCACAATATTAGGGGGAATGTATTAACAATTAGAAAGGAAGATATACAAATGACTAACTATAGCACTAATAACCATAATTGCTATATAGCAAGTAATAAACATGAACAGTCTGTAAAATTCTAGAAACAAGCACTATACTTTTGAGGGTAACTTACACTGTATCTTCTGAGTTATTCATTGTACTTTTTGCAGAATTGTTTTGGGCAGAGAGCACTGTCATCAGGGGAAGCCACAAGCAGCTGTTACCTGCCAACCCTTGAAGCTGTGCCTAATAGCCTGGAGTTAATAGAAACCGGCCTGGTCTACTTTGTGATGTTCCAACTTTGGTTCAAGGGGCCCAAAGTAGAATCCCAACAGGTCTGTATGTGGCATTGCTTATGAAATTCTGAATAAATCACTGCCTGAAGAAAATTAATCTCTTTTCCCTGTCTGACCATCTTTGGTAAAAACACTAAGCCCAAGTGAATAACTCAATGTTTCTAATTAATTCCCTCTCCACCCTCCCTAAGGTGTAGGTAATGCATTCACACTCTCATTTTGAGTCTGGCCTCATGAAACCAAAGGCAGGATTTGTGATCAATGAAGGGAACCTGCTTGAGTCAACTATAGCTTTAGCGAGTTAGTGGGGAAAGGTATGGGGATAGGGATGTTCCAGGAGAGCCCAGCCAGAATGCAGAAGGAAGGTGGCAGAATACTGCTTGGTCATGTCATCCTATGGGGCAACTGCGATCAAGAGCAGGTCAAGGGGTTCTACTGCAGTGGATTTAGAGGAGCTTCGGGCTACTTGGCTGGTAATCTAGTGCAAGAATCACATTAAGCCAATGTGTGTTTTAGGGGTGCAACCCCATAGTAGGACACAGAATTAGAAGACAATTCAAGGAGCAAGCTAGGTGAACTAAACAAGAGAGAACAAAAAAAGAGTAGGCTGCTCCTAGCTTGTCTTGTTGTCTAAGTTCAAACAGGATACAATGTATCCTCACTCATACTTTCAAAATAAGTATGAATGAGGGTATGTTTTTTTGCTGCAAAATAAGATTTTATCAGCTCATTAATTAAAGATGAGAAAGAAAATTACTTTTGCTGAGCAACTACTATGTGCCAGACACTGTGACCCCTTTATATATTCTCCTTAACTTGTATCCTCAAAGCAATTCTGGGAGGTAATTAAAATAATTCTTTTCTCCAAAAAGAAACTACTGTTTTAGAAAGTTATTATTAAATAATAACACAATACATGCACACCTTCGCAAATTACGTTATTGAAAGATGTGGTGATTCTGAGTCTATCCACACCATACCTGGTCTGAAATCGTTATTAATAAAATGAGCTAAAAAGACGATTTAATTTACCCACAATGAACACTTGCTAATTGGAATCCCACTAGCTCACCACACAGATGTATCCACCAGAGTCCCTGACCCAAAGTTCCAAACACACCCCTTTTGGAGGTATCTCCATCTCAGTAAATGTCACTTTCATTCTTCTTCCTCAGCTAAAATCTTAGTCATCTTATTTCTTCTGTCCCACCCACATCTGTCCACTCCACCGTCAAAGTATAACCTCAAATCCCATCACTGCTCATCAAGTCTATTACCACCTCCCTAGTGCAGGCGACACCATCATCTCTCATCGGGATTAACGCTATATGAGGCAGCTAACCAGTCTCCCTACTTCCACCTTTTGCCCCACTAAACAGCCGGCCCTCGGTATCCGCGGGCTCCCCATCCACAGACTCAACCAACCGTGGGTCGAAAGGCCTGTGATGGTTGCGTCTGTACTGAACATGTACAGACTTTTCTTGTTGTTATTCCCTCAAAAATAGTATTAACAATTATTTACATAGCATTTATATTGTATTAGGTATTATGAGTAATCTAGAGGTGATTTAAAATATACTGGAGGATGTGCATAGGTTATACGCAAATACCATGCTATTTTATATGGACTTGAGCATCTGTGGATTTCAGTATCTGCAGGGAGTACTGGAACGAATCCCCCGTGGATACCGAGGGACAATTACTGTCTATTCTCAATCCAGCAGCCATAAAGATCTTTTAAAATGTACATCCAGTCATGTTGCTTTTTAGTTCCAAACCTAAGGGCACTTCATCTCACTAAGATCAGAACCCAAGGAGCCTGCCGTGGACTAAAGCTATAGATCTGCCCTGCAGAGACTCTCAGACCTCCCATCCCCTTCGCTCCCTCCTCGCTCTGGGACAGCACAGCAGCCTACGTGCCACCCTCTGCCCACACCGGGAACGACCCAATCTCGGGCCTCTGCACTTGCTCTGCCCCCTCACTTCCTTCGAGCCCCACACAAGTGCTCCCTTCTCAGGGAGGTTCCCTAGGCCACCAGATGTTAGACTGCACATCCGCCCCGAACGCTCCCTGACTCCCTCCCCCGGTGTTTATCCATCTCCACTGGGGCAGGGATTTGTGCCAGTCCTGTTCAGTACAATATCCTCAGTGTCTGGTACACAGCAGCCACTCAAATATTTAGTGAACTAATGAATACTAATAATCACTAAATGAGGATACAGAATCGTCACTTTAAAAAAAGTAACAAGTATATAAGAGCACTCCTGCCAAACTAGACGTATTCTAAGTAAGTACACTCTTGATGTTGCAGTGAGATGTTACCTTCTTTCATAATAAAATTTCAGTTTTATTAAGTGTTGTTTAAAAAAACAGCAAGTAAGTGTCTTCTTCTTCTTGGCTGATGAGGTTGCTAAGGAATATCATCAGCATGACTTGACCGTTAACTTCTGAGTGGAATGTGGAAGCTACAGATTCTCACTCCTCATTACTATGTGGTCCCACTGTGGACCCCAGCACCTACATGACCCAGGGCTAGTGAGAAACACACTCGCAGAGCTTCCACCCCAGCCTGCTGGATCGCCAAGCAATGCACATCCGCACAGGTGTACTACTCTACACAACCTCCACAAACTGTCTCATCAGGGATGAGAAAGACGCTCCTCCTCAGAGAGGAGGGCAGAGAATGAAACAAACTCAAGTTTCCAGTCAGTGCAAAAACATTTCCTACATTATCTAAATTTACTCTATCTAAATCCTTACCAATTTCTACAGTTTGGGGGCTTAGTCAAAACAGAGAGGTCTCTGGAAGTAACTAAAACACCAAATTTTATTCATTATAAACTCCCAACATAAAAACATAAGCAATATATGAATCTACTGTGTGCATACTTTGACAGGACGAGGTCAAAAGATTACAGTATTTCAAAGACCTCAGAGCAAGGGCATTAGCTGCCCTAGAAGTGATAGGAGCTTGGGGCGGGCACAGCTTATCCTACATAACCGAGCAAGTCCTCGGGCCCACAGCCAGTAGGATAGGTGTCTGGTGTATCATGAACAAATCCTTGCTGTGACCAGAAAAATAAGAACAGGCTAGGGCAACATAACAATGTACTGACTCGAGCATTGGTGCTGGACTACAGCTGACTCAAGTCCTATGAGTACACCTGAAATGATTCCCAGACAGGTATCCGGGCCATCCTAAAATCAACTAAGTCGAGGCAGTGTATCTAATCTAATCGATTTATTTGAGAAGGGGGCAGTGAATAAGCAATCGATCACCTAGCTGCCAATTTCAGTGGTGAATGTGCCTGAAACAAGTAGAAAGGAAATGCTTTTACCTGAACTTCACACTACATTACATGGGTGGGCACTCATTCTATATGACATTTTTGCAAGGGCAAGACCCAGTGCATTTACCAAGTTGTGTTTATAATATTCACAACAGCATATCTTCCCTGGAACATGGTACCCAACCTCACTGGGATACAGCCTGAAACATTCTTGGCAGAAAATTGAAGAGCCTGGAGGCTGCAATTAAAGTCTCCTTGGTGGCTTAAGATTAACATACAAGCATCCTTAAAAACCTGGAACATCTGTATCTCTAAAAACACTACAACGCACAATTCCCCATCAGAAGGACTTAAGACTAAATGGAGGTGGTATTTGAGTTATGGGGTATTTGGGACCAAGGAACTGAAGAGGTCTTGAGATATCAACCTGAAAGTCTCAATAGACAACAAAATTATAGATCGGGGCTAACTCCACATGGGACATGAGCAATGTTAACAGGGCTCTATAAACCTGACCACTTTTGCTATATAAACCGACTTCTCTTTTATTTCGTTTTACCGTCAATTATTCAGGTAGTCCATGTATGACGGCAGAAAGTGCAACAGGCAAAGAACTAAGCTTCAACTGGAGTGATAGGTGGAGCCCATGATAATTTTTCAACACAGATGTAAATGTCTAGATGTGTCTGACTCAAAAGGGCTGCACAGTAATTTTGCACTGCAGGCCCACACTCCTCCATATAGATATACCTAACATTTACACACAGTCACAGACTAGATTACTGACAGCATCATGTAAAGTAGCTGAGTGTTATCTGAATTGCAATGAAGTCCTTCTTTGTACAGAACTGCTCAAGAGAAATCTGCTTAAGTTACCATAGATAAAGTAGTTTTTAAAAAATCCTGATAACAAGCTTAACTCAACATTTTTTACTTCTACCTTTGAAGTCGATCAAAGGATAATTTTAAAAGAAGTTTCTCAAACAAAATCAGAAATTAATATTCCTAAATATTACTTTAAAAATAAGAAATAAGACAAAAATCTCCTTAAAGGAGACCACATAGTCTGCATTCTTAACAGGGAATCATTATGCGGGCCTCTAAAATGAAATGGTTCAATTTAACAGTATGAGAAAACAATTTCACCCTAAAATAAAACTTGGATTATCCAGAATTTTAACCAATTTGATTGGGGGGAAGAAACAATCTACAGTGAGTAATACATTCATTAAAAATGACTTAGCCCTTCTTTAATGACTCAGGGCTGTCCAAGTGAATGTCAGCTTCTCTGCTGGGCTGTGACACACTGAGACACTAAGGGCCACCAGACCTATTTTAATTAAATGGCCCCACACAGCTCCTTTTTTACAGTTATCTCTTAACTTCATAATTCTTCCAACTCCTAACACCTACTAATTCTATCATTAGACCCACCTTAACAAGCCATTACCCCACCAATCTATCGAGAGTCTGGAAAAAGATAACCAAATTTGTTAGACTATCTACAAAGTAAGAGGCAACAGGCCCTTCGGGGAGTGACACAGGATGAACGAACGACGGCTCTGTAGCTCCAGAGCCTTTCTGTTTCCCTCCTGTCTAAATTCTGTTCTGAACAGATAAGGCTGTCAGATACTCGACTGCCTAACAACTGAGGTGCTACTGTATATTAGAAATTGAAATCTGCAGCTGCTGGACTTCAAATATGGAATTAAACCCCTGACACATCTACTTCCATGTAGAGTCAAGGCCACCACCTCGATTATCAGCGGGTACATGCTTATGAAAGGAAATGCTTTTCTTCATCTTATAAAGCAAAAGCAATACTTACCTTAAAACTTAATGTGCTAAAAAAATACAAAGAATACATTCCAAAGTCCAATATAATTTTTGAAAATATTATCAATGCCATTATTCCCTGGCTCAAAGTACCAATCTGTTAAAGACTTTAAAGCTGGGGTTTGAAAGTCATCTACAAAATTTTCCCCCACTGGGAATGATCTAAAACGAGGGTAAACTCAACTCAACAACATTAGAAAATATCCAAAGGCATATTTAGGTTTTCTAACTACCCAAGGTTATCTGAGGCATAAGGCAACAAACCCAACAGAGTTAGAGAAAGGCAAAGGCTGTTAGGTTGAGGTGCTTAGGAAGCAGGGCACGAGGGAAATGGAAACTAAACATGGTGGGAGGGAGGTGACAGTGGCTTCTCTGTACCCTTTTGTCATCCCAGGCAGGAATTAGGAGTTGACTACACAAATCAGTAAGAATATTGTGAACACTGACCTCTCTTCCTGGTAAAGAAACATGAACTTATCCTTGGCCCACAATTACGGGGACAAATGGAAGATGCTTCACGTCTTGCTGAATAAATGGGCAAAGGCTAAGAGCACTGAAGTAGAAACGTAACCTTGTAAAACCTACTAGATCTACCGTGTTCCTCTTGTTAGTTTCTCCTAAGGAGCTTGTGCAGAACGTCTCCCATCGCTCCCTGACTTCGTCTGGAAGATCTTCAGAGGGAGAAAAGGAAAAGAGCATTATCACTACAGTGACCTCCACACAGACAAATCAACACAAGAGTGCACCACCCACGCAGTTCATCAGAGGCAAACAGGCCCTATCAGCTGAGCACCTGACTCCTCGAGGAATGGAATTATAAAGCCTTGCACACTCTGAGCCCCGAGGACTTTCAGGAACCAGAACCAGCCCCACAACTGTCTATATTTGGTGCCAAGAGCCCTAAGCAGCTATGTGAATTTAACAAATTTTTAAAACTCTTTTGGTAAAAACTTAACTTGGAAAATATGAGTGTTTCCAACAAACTCTTCTGAGAAAGGTAACAGATCTTTAGGGTGGGGGGAAAGCTGTCTTTTTCCATGGTCATGCAAGTTTAAGAAACACTGCCAATGTCAGCTCCCACACACTTTCTAGAGACACTCTGACTGCATCTGGCCAATGTTCCATGGAACCCAGTTCGGCTTCTCAAATTGCTCAAAGATAAATGTTTCCTAAATGTCTGTGTCACTGGTCAATATGTGGATACATATGCAATAGTGAAATTCTACCTTCTAGAGAAATTTTCAAAGAAAAGATACACAAATACTCTTCTGAGAAAATGAACCATAGCTGTAATCTTGGAGGCCTTACTAGACTAAAGTTACCATCTGACAATTCTGGTTTAAACACATGTGTGTGCATCCTCGCACAGGTGCACACACACACCACCTGGCAAGCAACTTCCAGAAAACAAAGACTGATCTAGAAAACAATCATACACATGGCCATTTCTCCATGGTAAGAACATAAAGATAAACTGTGATGATCTGGCTTATACATCTCTCAAGAAGCAAAATTAGAGGTGGGAAAGCCCCAATTTTTCCACGACTGGGAAACAACTCGGCTTTTAGCGCACAATTGACAGACAACAGCCTCTTGAACATGCAAACATCCTCAAAAGATAAATAGAAGGATAGACTGGGAAATGATTTTCAGCCAGGTAACTCTGAACCAATGCTGTGCCACAGAAGATAAAGGTTTTTCACATTCAGAGTAAGTCACAGGACTCATAATCCTGCTGGCACAAAACCCCAGAGAGCATGGAGCTCTCCACGCTTTCGTTTTGGAGGAGATGGACTCATGGCCTGGGTGCCAGTGTAAAAGGCACCCACAGTTTCTTCCAAGTAACCCTGGCTGATTAAATTTAAATGCCAATATAGAAAGAGTCCTTTAGGAGCCAATATCCCTCATTTTAGTAATAGACATACTGAAAAAATGCTGATAAATGCTTTAATATCCCAGTTAAAGGAACTCAATCCAGAGGCTATAGAGAGGCCTTCAAAAGAAAAGAAAAAGCAGGAGTAATTATAGCTCAAGTGGCTCCACTGCCAGCCTGTGAGAACTTCAAGCTAGAAGGAATGATTCACTGAGCAATGCTCTTGGAGAACGAAAGTGGATAGCTCCAGCATGCTGAACTCAGCCGAGCCTGCCAATGCTTACTAAAAGGACTGCAGAAATAAGAACCGAGATTCAGCAAAGAACTACATTGTCAAGAACCTCATTCAAATTTCCAGATAATTTGGAAATATAAAGAAACGCCTAAAGAGCTATTAAAAAAACTACAAATATTTCCACTTTATCCTTAAATCCTTTCTCCAATCCAATAAAAATGTAATTAAAATTCCATGAATCACTTACCTTTGATAAGCTGCTGTACTAATGCACTGTTGGGGCCCTTGTCAGTACTATGCACGATACAGTTAGCTATCCTCGTCAGGTGTCCCATGTAGCCATGCCGTCTTCCTCCCTCGGCCCTGACATGGGGGAAAAGACAAACATTCAGATTCCTGATAGGCTGGAGTGATGAAACAGCTTGCTAAACAAAGTGGATTTCAGCAATCATTCTAAAAACTGAGGCACTGAAGACAAGAATGGACAGAAAAGGAGGGTGCCAGGATATTACCAGGCCAGGGTGGAGGGGTGGCAGAAACTGTCCACTCAAAGATTGTATTCTAGCCTCACTCAACAGGACAAGGTTTATTCAAATATACAAACCAACCATTAATCTTCAATAACATATTATCAAAAAACAAACAGAAAAACCAAAAAAACCCAAACATTCATTGCTGTTCAATATTTCTGTGACTTTCTTTTGTATCTTTTTATGAAACTATTTTTCAGACTTTAAACAGACTGCAGGGAACTGACTTGAGAATTCTGCTAGTTCCTTTTGCTAAAAGGCATCGAATTTTAATCATATCAATCAATTAACAGATAATTATCTACTAATGGCATTTCTCAAGTCAAAATATTGGCTGATTTGAGGACTTGGCCTAGATGAGAGGTAGTCAGTTTGTACGTGGCCCATACGCCACTTGGAACACAGGTAAATAAATGATTCCTCATCCCTTTCCCCCACTTAGTGCCTCATCTTCCCAACTATGATCCGTCTTTACATTTAGACAAACGATTCACATCACCGTGATTTCTCTGCCTGACTATTTACACACTGTCAGGACTTTAAATTCTCTGAAACAAAAGACTTTTGACTGTAGATGGCAGGGAACAAACTGAAGAGATTTTTGTTTAAAGGGAGACTCTTTCAGGAGCCACTAAAAAAACCATATTAGGCTTGAAGGCAAATAAAATATTTGCTAATAATCTTAGAGGGTCTGGGGATAGCTAAGGGTCAGAAGGCAGAGGGGTGATTTCAATTGAGTTGCTAAGGCCTCTTTTAGTATCACAATAAGCTCCCAAGACCCAAGTGCTCCTTCTAGGCAACTTCTTAGTCAGACACTGCTGTGTTCCCTCAAGCCCACAGGTGGAAGCAAGGCCCATCTGCAAGTTTTTTGGCTCCGAGTTCCCAATGTTCTTTAGGCTTATGGTGCAAGGAAACATTAGAAAAGCTCTTTCAGGACCCTTCAAGATGGGGGGAATATTATTAGCCAGGCCTTCAAAGAATGGAGCCCATGGGGAGTAGAAGACACAGGACACCTCGGCACTGGCCAGTAGAGGAGGCAGAGAGAGGAAAGGGGATCAGCGAGGGCACAAAGGGGCTAAGATGGGGTCAGACACGTAACCACACAGCACCCCCAAAGGAGCTCCACTTGGAAGAACATACCTGAGGTCAACCAACACTAGCTCCTGGCCACACTCAAACTACACGCCACATTTCAAAGCCCTATCAGTGCTTAGTAAGCAATTTTTAAAAACCAAACCTCAGGAAATAAAGCTGACACCTCCCATGAGTTACCTAGCTCTCCTGGGGGCTGCAAGATAAGTCTTAACAGAGATGCAGAGCAAGAAAACTCCTGAGAAAGGTTCAACTATAAAGGAGCATGAGACAACTTTTTTAGGGTGATGGAAATGTTCCATGTCTTGATTGTGGTGGTTACATGACTGCATGCATTTTCTGGAATTCTTAGAGAGATATATACATTTTTATATATAAAAAGATGAATTTTACCTTATGAAAATTATTCTTCAGTAAATCTGACCTAAAGACAAACACAGGAAGTGTGCCTTGAGAGTGCTTCCCTATACCACCTGCTTCAGAATCTACGGGACGGCGTCAGAGCTCCCAGGGCAGTGGAGAGGACACCCGCTACAGACACACCACTAGGAAAAAGTCCCGGTAACAAAGCTACTTATATGGACCAACTAAGATTTCAAGTAATCTTGCCCATCAGCTAACGGAAATGTCCTGAAAACAAAATACTATGCAATTTCCCCCCTCTAGTTCCCTGCACGAAGCAACTCTTTTCTACACTGAGAACATGGAGTAACCAGGACACACACGCTAAATTAAATCATCATCAACGAGGACTTGACTTCACAACTCTTTTCATTCAACTCCACACTTTTCTCAAAAAAAAAAAAAAAGCCATTCAAAAAGAACCAGGAGGTTTCAAAGGCAGCACAGAGGCAGCGAGCACTCCCAACCCCTAGTTTCCCCTCAAGAGAGGTAAAAAGACAGGGAAACCCAGAAATAAATTATTAGAAAAATATCTGTTACAACTAAATCATCTGGAAGTCCCAACAAAACCATTTATAACTGTTAAGTGCCCTGTACAGTGTAATTATTTTCATTACTCCCTGTCTAGGGCAAGGAGGATATTTTCTTCAAATTAAAAATCAAACTGAATTCCTAACAGAAAAAGATTTACTTACTGTTTCTTCTCATTCATTTCCCAGGCGTCAAGTATTCGTTCTATTAACTGACATTTTTGAAAAAGCTGAATAAAAAGGAATATTCTAGTTAACATTTACATAAATGTCAAAGTGTCAAAATTTTAAAGTGAAATAGAACTCTAAGTTAAACAGAATAGTGATATGTATAACCCAGCAAGCTAAATATAGCTGTGAATTACTGGCTAAATCAAAAGCAATGTGATGATAAATTTACTCGAGGCCCTCAGAACACTACAGGGATTCAAGACAGACTCCAGACCTTCAGCAGTGCATCTGCTGAGAAACAACAATAATTCAAGTACCGCTACCAGTGAGCAGTTAAAGCAAAGCGAGGTTTTATCAGCCAGGAAAACTGGGCTCAGAAGTACAGAGCCTGACAAAATTAAAAAGGAATAAAGAAAATTATGCCCTGGCAGAAATTTAACTCAGAATCCACAGCAATACATGTACTTTTTAAATGTGAGCAACACTTACTTCTAGATGCACTAACATTATTGTATTCATATTAAAAATCAGTGTGGCTTGCCAAAATCCTACCAGCCAATGACAAGTGCTGGGGGCTGCATTACCAGTATGTGCAATGCCACTTTTATTCCAATGGCACTTGTCTTCCCCATCTACTTGGTTACTCCAGGCTAGCCTTTCCCAACTCCCAGGTGTGAGAGTAACCCGGTGTGAGCTAGAAAGTTTCATACAACCACAGAACTTTAGAGCAAGAAGAAATCTGAAGACTGACTTAGTAATAAAATCACTTCATATTTAACAAGACAAAACAGACGTCAGGAAGAGGCTCACTCAACACTGCACAGAACTCACTTCTCCCAACTTTCAGTAAAGTATTCAGCACCAGAAATTAACACTCTGGCATGCCAAACAATTGTTTAAATGTTTTCTGCAGTCTTTAAAATTTTATGTTTCTTTTAAACTCCAAAATTTCTAAATCTTCACATTTATTAATTTTACCAAATAAGCAGGCCACCTAGATTTTTTTCTTAAAAATTCATCTAATGGTTATTTGTCTAGGATTTGATTTATAGAATCATGGGTTAAAACAGCAATGAAAACATGACAGTTAAATATATATATATATATATTTTCTTATATATATATTTATATTTATTTATTTATTTACTTACTCTTTTATTTATTTATGAGGAAGATCAGCCCTGAGCTAACATCCATGCCAATCCTCCTCTTTTTGCTGAGGAAGACTGGCCCTGGGCTAACATCTGTGCCCATCTTCCTCCGCTTTATATGGGACACTGCCATAGCATGGCCTGACAAGCAGTGCATCGGTGCGCGCCCGGGATCCGAACCCTAGGCCGCCAGCAGCTGAGCGTGCGCACTTAACCACTATGCCACAGGGCCTGGCCCGACAGTTAAATATTTAGACCCTGAAATTTAACCTCATGCCCTTAAACTTCAATTCATTTCACACTTAAGTGGAAAAATGCTATAATCAGGAGTGGCAGAAAAAAAGACACCAAGTAAGCTTACATGTTTCAATAACAAATTGTCACCAGTGGAGTCTTGATCAGTAATTGTGCTATTTTCTGTGTTTTCAAAAGGACTTGCAAGAATCAGTGCAATACAAATTTCCACTTGTGTATGTAAAAAGTTATTCCATGTATATTTGAAGAACATGTCCTACAAACAAAACAAAACAGAGCTTTCTTTTATTCAGTTACTTCAATGTTTAAGCCACTACCTTAATTCATTTACTGAACAGTGATTTAATAAAGTAAAAATAACATGTTCTTAGTTCAATAGGACTAATTAAAAGGAACACAAGTTTAACTTAAAGGGGGTTTGAAATACTGCTTCATAGACTAAATGCATGGTATCTGCTCCTTCAACATGCCAGAATTTGCATGGAACCAGTAGAGACCAACAATAAACACGTGACGAAAAGACAACAGTATGCTTCTCAAAGAGAAAGGGAGTATCTTCTTATGTTTTCAAAGCAACTAATACAGACACTAAGTTCAGTAAATTTCCAATAATTTTCAAAGATATTTATGAGAATTTCATTTTGATTCAACAAATATTTAAGGATGGCTTTTGTGCAGGGCACGATGCTAGGTGCAATGTGAGAGACAAAGATAGACAAAAATATGGTCTCGAGATGCTCACTCGAAACTCATAGAACTATCAGCAAATGGAGCAAAACAAGAGAGGTATGAGAGGCAGCGACGTGTGGATCTCCTGGAAGTACAAGGGTTTTCCAGATTATCTAAAAAGGTAATAGTATCACAAAAAGGAAATACAATTCCTAAAAGCATGAAATGCACAGTTAAAGTATGTATTCAGGATATCACTGGGTCTGGTTATGTAATCTCAAAATGAAATAGTAATGATTAATGACCCATTCAGGAGTTTTATCAAATTTGTTATCACTTAAAAGTAGCTCTAAAGCAATGAATTAACAATAGTTGTACTTATTATTAGTAAGATTCAAGTCTAGTAATTGCTGACTTCAGGGAGACTCCCAGAGGCAAGAGAAGAAAGTTATATTTCTGGAGTTTTATAGACCAGTCAGAGGGCAGGGCAAAAACTATGTCTCCAGAGGACAACAGTTACACTACCAAAGATACTGTAATCCTTCAACATTTCATCTTTCTCCAAAATATTCCTGCTCTCTATGCTCTACACTGATATGACATTTAACCCAAAGCTGAAATATAACCAAAAATATCTCAGTGACACTAGAAAGCATAATGGTATGGTTGATAAAGCATGCATGAGTTTGAAATTGGACGTGAATTCAAATCTTGGCTCCACCACTTACTAGCCATGGAATGTATCCCCTCTCTAGGCATGATCTGAAAAACAGATACTCTCTCTCACACAGAGTTTTTATACTCAGGACCCCACGAGAAATGTATATAAAGTGCACATTACAATGCCTTTCATGTAGTGAGCAAATACCAGACCCCAAATGTACGGTGTGACCAGATGTCATGTGAAACCTGCTAAGTGTCAACCGTCGTGCCTTCTGCGCTGTGGAGCGGTAGGACAGACAGAGCAAGCACGGGCACCAGAGCTGGGCCTGTGGATACTAAGCACAAACCCTGGAACTCAGGGTCAGGAAGTCCAGATAATCCTGGGCTCTTCCTTTTCCCTTCCATTGACAAGCAGACTAACAGCTGTTTCAAGGAAGAATTTAGACTCAAATGAAAAGACCACACACTGTCTTAGATACATTACATAGATATATCTCAGTGGAAAGAAGATAAAGGCTTGTCTCTCTGTTTATTATGAAGAGAAAAGAAGGCTGCAACCAGCAGTCATTTATTTCTAATACAATCCCCTGGAGAGGGAGACTAGACTCACTTTATCGTCTACGCGAGACTGAGCTTCTTGAGGAAAAGTCTATGTCTTAATCATGTTTGAAATTCTCTAATATAATTCTTTACACACGGCAACAATAACTAACTACTGAAAAATTTAAAGCATTCGAAATTCATGATCAGTTCAAGGCAAAAACTATATAAAAGACCATTTCTGCTCAGACCAAGAAAAGCAATTGACACATGCGGTAAATTTGTGACAGCGTAACTTGAGTTATATATCCATAAAATAGCAAAAGAAAATTAAAACGTCTTTCGAGGGAAATCTTACCAATATGACCCCAATGCTATTCAGCTCCATTAGCTCCCCGTTGATACTGCTGGTATTTGTTTGAAGGAGGCTGGATATCAACCGAATCACATTCAACCGGGTATTCCCCACAGGAGGGTCCAGCACACCCCACGTAGTCTTCATGACGCTTTTCTGAGGAAGAGAAAGCTTCCCAATTAAATCCAGTTAGGTAAACAAACAAAAAGGTGCAGAGGTGTATACTAAGATGGAACACTAGGTGAGCTAGCCCTGCAAATAATCTGGCCTGAATCCTACACCTGAAGGAAAACGCAAAGCTGCTATTGACGTCTTTAAGATATGATGAAATAACCAAGAGGAGAAAAAAATCAAGTAATTTCCCTGGACTACTGCTTTTATAAGAAATCCAGCATCCCCCTGCTTCAACATTCCAAACTGCCATCGGAAGAAAGCAGAAAGCTACAGAAGTCCATGAAAAAAAAGTGCAATATTCCAAACCTGTCCAGAGATCAAAGAAACTAAGAGAAGTTACACGTGATTTTGGAACACAGTCCTCGACCTTTGCCAAATCTGTGACGAAAATGCAAAAAGCTCAGAAGTTGCCTCTGGATCACAACCCTGAAACAGGATCAACCTCAAACCTGTTCTTGTCCAAAAAAGGAGGTCTCTATACTTTGAAATCACGGAAGACAGACAGAGAACATTTCAGAATTTCAAAAGTTTGACAGGAAAGGTGACGAATTATAACCTGGCGGTGAGACTGCCCTTTCTCAATGTCCCCATCCACGTCAGCACCCTCACTCCCTCCTGCTCCTTGAGGCTTCATGGAATTGTAAGGCTCACAGTTTTACTCCAACCCTAAGACAGCTCTAATTAACAAACATTTTAAAAAGCTTCATGGGTCTTACTCACACCACCACACTGTATAGTAAAAGCAGGTACAAACTGAATCACTGGCTCCTAGCAGTAAAAGAGAGGAAGTCCAAACAAGACACTGCCTTACTTTTGAATCAGGGCCAAGAATATACGTGTGAGAATCCACATTAGATGCTGCTTTTTTTTGTCCACCTAGAAAGATGACAAGTAGGACATCTAGGACACAGGCCAGGGGCACTCATCACACACCCTCCTCTCTCAGATCCTTCTCCCTCCTCCAGACTCCACTTGTGATGTTCTCTCCTCTTCTCCTAAATAAATCCTTTCTTTTTCTTTCCTTACTCTCTTCCTCGGTCTGGCTTGAAGGACCAACAGAGGCACTTTGCCTGAGGGTGAACACCCAACACTCTGGTCCACATCCAACACAGGCTGAACGTAGATAAGACAACATGGCAGAGGTGGGACCGCTGCTTGATCACTGGTAGCATCAGTCATCTGAAGAGACAATCTGGAAGCTGAACTAGACTGCCGTGGTAATGGACATACATTATTCTATTCTCCCCCTCCACAAAATAGTTAAACAAACAGAAAACATCTATTTCAGAGAGGAGAAACTAGTACATTCAAGTCCCAATAATGCACTCAGTAGATGCCACAGAGATACGCACAATGGCTAGGACTGGATCCAATGAGAGAGGGCAGAAGGAAAAAGGAAAGGGTAAGAACTGGTGCTGGCAGCAGAACTCTCAAGGAACTGTCTTCCACCTACAGATTCCAAAAGGAAGAGCCTCTTACCCTAATCTAAATCTCTGCACCAGTCCGAGGGGCGTGGGGGGCAGCGGAAGAACACCATGTATGGACTGTGGGTACCCCTCTTTTGTAGGTCTTCACTGTCTGTTGTCTGGGCTTTCAGTGGCCTGCCTGAGTAAACAGTCATTTTTAGATTAGCACATGGATGCTCCCTACAGAAAAACTAACACTCCAAGTCACATTCAACCGACTATTTCTTAAATATGGTATCTGTCCATCAGGCTGTTACACTGCTCCAACTCTGAATAAGACGATTCCATTTCAAAGATCAGTTCCTAAAAGATTAACTTTACCTCAAAGATGTGAAAGTAACAGGCTATGAGAAGAAAACTGTTTATTTCATTGGCATATAAGCACCCAGAATTTATAGAAACATAGAATAAAAAGCTGAGTTTCCTAAGCAGATAAAAATTTGTCTAATTTTTATTCTACCCCATTCATCAATTTAGACACTATATATAGATAAAAGGCAATTAAAAACTAGCTCAAAAGCAATAAAAACAATTGGCGGTGTACCTTTTAACGTATTTTGTACAAGCTGGTCACAGCCAGTTCTATTACTCACAAGGTTCATATACTTTCTAACAACTATTTAAATCAAATTACTGAGCTGGCCAGCTATGCTCAAGACAGCTGCCCTACCTTGGGCGGCTCAAGGAGGAGTTCATGAAAAGATCCAAGTCTTCCTCGGATGGCTTCTAGAACACTCTTGTTGACCGAACAAGCTGAATGACTCATGCCTGGTGGGCAGATCTCTATATGGCCTTCAAATCTTGAAACAAAACAAGTTAATTTTACTTATTATAATTTCAAAACAAATCATTCAAGATGTCCCACGTCCGCATGTAGATATATACATAATAGCTATATAAATGTATCATAATTATATCAACATTTCTGGAGGGCTAGGAAGAGGGTACAATAAAACCTCAATGAGGACCAGTCAATGACCTGGAATCCAAAGGCCTGTAGTGTCAGGTAAGAAATTCTCCTCGATTTCTTCCCATGCTCCTAACGCTTCTAACTTCTTATACCTCTTATACTAATAGCAGGTCTCTGGGTCTTACACCTATTATACTAATAGCAGGTCTCTAACCAGAACATTTGGGAAGCAAAAGGAGACCTGATCCCTGAATTAGAGCGTACCATACTTCCTGCCATTCGGGATGTTAATAATAAACAGGCCTGTATTTGTTCCATACAGTTTTTCTTGGTTAATCAACACTGTTTCCTATTTAAAAGGCCGAAATTACTCTTTAACATTAGTGCTCAATATACACTTATCATATCCCACTCCTTACAGGAAAACAATTAAGGGTGGAAAAAGACTCCCAAATCTCAATCGCTGTGAGTACATGGGCAAAAGGGTTCTCAAAGTGGGGGGAGGAAGGACCTCAGGGTGGAGCACTCTAATAATGTGGGTATGCAGTTCAAGTTAAAAGATATACCTGAGAGGGGAGCGTCCGCTCGCCATTAGGCAAGTTGGTGGTTAACAATGCACTGCTGGAGAGAGACTGTCTGAGCCCATCCTGGCTCTTCACATGCCAGTTATCTGTGCTGATATGGAAAATGGGAATCACTCTAGAAGGTCTCTCCCAGGACTGCTCTGAGGAGCACGCTAACGCAGACAAAGGGCTGAGAACACAGCCTGGCCTATAGCTAACACCCAGAGAGTGACTGTTATGATTGTTACTTGAAGATATTCCACACATGCAAGTGATTTATACCCCTAAGAGCTATATGGAACAGCATTCAGAAACTCAATTACTGGAAAAAGGGGAAGGGGAAAAGCCTTTGCTTTGACTACAGTGCTTTCTAATGTGTAGGGGGTTTTAATAATTTATGCGACCAAACATAGCTTTCTTCATTATAGTTTCTGTCCAAGGAGTCAGGCCAGAAAGTTCTTTACAATCCCATAATTCTATGAGTATTTGCATACTCTTCCTCTAGTATTTTTAATTTAATTCATCTGGAATTTATTTTTATGTAAAACAGGTATAGACATAATATTTTTTCCCAAGTGATGAGTCACTTTCGAAGCCACATTTATAGAACAATCTGCCTTTCCCCACTAATGTGAAAACCACACAAAACCACATACTAAAATTCCTTAATCATTCATATAAATTTTGTTTATCTGTTCACCTAATAAATATTTAGTGAGCATCAAATTATGTACCAGCCCTGACTGAGGTACTACAGTCAATATCCATGGGGTTTAACAAGACTTACGTTGGTATCACACTGCCATATTTATTATAACAATGATGCATTGTAATATGCAGGAGGCAACTTAATCACTGGTCTTGCCCAAAAGTTCTTGGCTAGTCTCACATTTTTATTCTTCCAAAAATACATAAGAATTCACCAAATCCAAAACAAAAACCATGTTGACATTACAAGTCAAGCCTTATTAAATTTAGAACTTAGATTTGGAAAGGCACAAGAAGTGACAGATGTTTTCTGTATCAGCAGTCCACTCCCTTTTATTGCTGAACAGCAACCTACTGTACAGACATACCACATCTTCTTTATCCATTCACCAGTTAAAGGACACTTCAATTGTTTACAGTTTGGGGTGACTATGAATAAAAATGACATCAACATTCACTTATTTTATTAAGTTTTTATGTGACAGTTTTTATTTCACTCGGGTAAATATCTAAGAGACTGCTGGATAACACAATAAATATCTGTTTACCTTCATCAGAAGCTGGCAAATGTTTTTAGAAAGTGGCTATATGGCTTTACACTCCCAACAGTGGCGTGTGAGACTGCCAGCTGCTCCTCATGGTCACCAGCACTGGGAGCTGTCTACTCTGTCTGTTTAGTTTAGCTGTGTAGAGGGCTGAACGTGGCCTCCCAAAAAGATACATCCACACTCTCATCCGCAGAGCTTGTGACTGTTACCCTATTTGAAGATGTAATTAACTAAGGATCTTGAGATGAGGAGATTATCCTGGATTATCCAGCTCGACCCTAAATGCCATCGTAAGCGTCCTTATAAGGGAGGGAAGACACAGCAGAGAAGGCGATGTGCAGATGAAGCAGCGAGAGAGGTGGCCACAAGCCAAGGAATGCCAAGAGCCACCAGAAGCTGGAAGAGGCAAAGACTGCATCTCCCCTGGTGCCGCTGGAGAGTGCAGCACTGCTGTCACCTGGATCTTGGACTTCTGGCATTCAGACTGTGCAAGAATAAATTTCTATGGTTTTACGTCACAGAGTTTGTGGTAACTTGTTATAGCAGCCACAGGAAACAAATACTAGTTGTTCAAAAGATGAGCAGTGGTATCTCAACGTGGTTTTAACTTGAATTTCACTAATGACAAATGATGGTGGCCATGTTTTCATGTATTTATTTGAGATACATATATATGTGTGTGTGTATATATATATACACACATTTTATTAAGTGTCTGCTCAAATAGTTTAATCTTCTTAAAAACTGGATTGTTTTTCTTATTATTAGGTTTTGAGTGTTCTTTATATATCTGGATATCCTTTCTCAGACATGTGATTTGAAACTACTTCCTGGCAGTCTGTGGCTTGCCTTTTCATTTTCTTAACAGTCTTTCAAAGAACAAAATTTAAAACTTGAATGTAGGAATGTAGTCTGAGTTGTCAACTTCTCTTTTATGGACTGGGCTTTGGTGACGTACCTAAGAAATGTCTGCCTAATCGTAGGCCACAGATTTTCTCCTAGATTTTTTTTTTTTTTCTTGCTGAGGAGGACTAGCCCTGAACTAACATCCGCTGCCAATCCTCCCCTTTTTTCTTGAGGCAGACTGGCCCCGGCTAACATCGTGCCCATCTTCCTCTACTTTATATGGGACGCCGCCACAGCATGGCTTGACAAGCGGTGCATCAGTGCGCGCCGGGGATCCAAGCCTGCGAACCCCGAGCCGCCGCAGCAGAGCTCGCACACTTAACCACTGCGCCAGCAAGCCAGCCCCTCTCCTAGAACTTCTATAGTTTTGGGATTTACAGTTAGTTCTACAATCCATTTCAAGTAAATTTCTGCATAATGTGTGAGGAACATATCAAGGTCTAATTTTTTGTAGATTAGTGTTCCAGCACCATTTGTTGACAAGGCTATCCTTTCTTCACTGAATTGCCTCCACACCCCTGTCAAAAACCAATTGACCATTTATGTGTGGGTCTACTTCTGGACTCTACTATCTATTCCAGTAACCTATATGTCTATCCTTTCTCTAATACCAACTGTCCTGATTACTGTAGCTTTAAATTAGACCGTGTTAGTACTCCAATTTTGTTTTTCTCTTTCAAAATTGTTTTGGCTATTATATTTGAATTTCCATGTAAGTTTTAGAATTAAGCTTGATTTCCACAAAAAATCCTACTTGGATTTTAACTGAAATTATATTGAATCTCCAGATTAGTTTGGGGGGAACTGACATCTCAACAATATTGAGTCTTCTAATCCATGAACATGGTATCTCTCTCCATTTATTTAGGTCGTCTTTGATTTTATCAGAATTCAACAGTTTTCAGCACTAAATCTTGTATAGATTTTATTAGATTTACATCTAAGTATTTCCTTTTTTGTGTGCTATAGTAAATGGTACTTTATAAAAATTCCAAATTCCAAGTATTCATTGCTAGTATAAAGAAATGCAGTTAGTTTTTTTTTAATATTGACCTTACATCCTGCAATCTTGTTAAACTTACTTGTTAGTTCTACGAGTTTTTTGTACATTCTTTAGGATTTTCTATGAAGACAATTCTGATATCTGTGAACAGATTTAATGCTATTCTTCCTTTCCAATCTGGATGCCTTTTCTTTCTTTCCTGCCCTACTGCATTAATGGGCTAGGACCTCCAGATTGAGGGTGAACAGACTGGTGATAGTGAATATTCTTGCCATGTTCCCTAATTTTAGGGGATATCATTTCAGTGATCATGTGAGCTATGGGTATTTCTTTCTTTTTTCTTTTTTTTTTGTGAGGAGGACTAGCCCTGAGCTAACATCCAACACCAATTCTCCTCTTTTTTGCTGAGGAAGATTGGCCCTGGGCTAACATCCATGCCCATCTTCCTCTACTTTACATGGGACGCCACCACAGCATGGCTTGACAGGCAGTGCGCCAGTCTACACCTGGGATCCGAACCTGCGAACCCCGGGCCGCTGAAGCAGAGCACCCACACTTAACCGCTGCGCCACGGGGCCAGCCTGTTTTTTTCTTTTTAAAGAGAGCTTTATCAGTTTCCGAGTTCCTTTCTATTACTAATTTGCTGAGAGATTTTATTATAAATAAATTTAATGAAGTGACCACATGGTTTTTCTTCTTTTGTCTGCTGATATGAGTTACACTGATTTTTATTTTAAGACTATTTTTACAGAGTTGTTTTAAGTTCACAGCAAAAAGGAGAGGAAGGTACAGAGATTGCCCATATACCCACTGCCCCCACACATACATAGCCTCCCCCATTATCAACATTCCCCACTAGAGTGGTACATTTGTTACAATCCCTGAATCTACACTGATGCATCATAATCACCCAAAGTCTATAGTTTACACTATGGTTCACTTTTGCTGTTGTACATTCTACGGGTTTTGACAAATGTATAACGACATGTATCCTTCATTATGGTATCATATGGATTATTTTCACGGCCCTAAAAGTCATCTGTGCTCTGCCTATTCATCCCACCCACCCACCACTATGTTTTTACTGTCTCCATAGTTTTCCCTTTTCCAGAATGTCATATAGTTGGAATCATACAATACATGGCCTTTTCAGACTGGCTTC